GCCAGGAACACATTTAGCCAGCAACAGCTGTGTATTATCAAAGGCCGGCTACACGCTGAGTGTGTTTACATGATGGTATAATTGGAATCTTTGCTTAGTCGGACTATGCTGTCTTTCGGGGCAAGTGCTATTATCCCAATATACATGGCAGTAAATAAATCGAATCATTGGCCAAAGGCATGTTATATCCGATACGTTAGGTGGCGCTGTTTTCATTACAACTAGTTGTGAAACAGCCATTTCCACTTGACCTCTTCACCACTACCAACAACAACCAACATTACGAGAAAGATGGCGAACGGAGAGCAAGGTGAAGCTACATCCCTCTACTATCTTTGCATGATGTTAATAGGAGTACAGCGAATGCGAATGGTGCTATTGTCTGATTTGATAACTGAGAGAAGATGCTGTCGGGATCTCAAGCATGCGCAAAGACACAAAGTTCAGTTCCTTATCCGATTCACCGCTACATGCCGCAATAGTCGAACTATCAACTGGATCGGATCGAGTTATCCAGGGGTGTTAGTCGGATCGTAGTTGGACCGCACATAGTCGGACAAAGGTGTTTACATGACACGGATAACTCGATTTCAGTCCGACTAAGCCAGTTAATCAAATCCATGTAACCACGCTGATTGTAACTTTGTGAATTGTAACTGGCCCTCCCTCAGCTGGTTTCAGCAGATTGATGATTAAACTCTCTCAAACTTTCTCTGGTAAAATATCAGCTTCGCCGTCGGTCACAAAGCAGCTGATCTGACTCTTCATAATAACATGATAACGGAAGGCGTATGCAATAAATATGGCGTAAATGTATATGTCCCCAATATACATTTATTTACTATATTTTAGACCTGTGTGTGTGTGTGTGTGTGTGTGTGTGTGTGTGTGTGTGCCAAAGCCGCTCCTCTGTTGTGCTTAATAACTTGAGATGATCGCTCAAAGGAATAAAAATAAAAAAAGATTCCCTAAAAAGACATCTTTCTATCCTTAAAGTGATCATTTTCATGCAGCCTCTTTTAAGTTGGTCCTCCTTTGTTTGTAGAAACCATTTAAGAAGGGAAGCAGCATCCATTAGCTCCCACATTAGCCCCCCCACCCCAACAAACCCCTGATCTCCTCCACTATGTGTTGGCTCCCTCCAGGATTCCCTCTGCCGGAGCTCTTAAAGAGCCCTCTGTTTCTGATCTCAGTGCGCTGCCAAAGAAACCTGTCAGTCTTTTCTCTCCTTATTTCCTTTCTGGCAAGAATCAAGTGCACCTGCAGCATGAGTCCCATCAAAGACCCAATTAGACTGCGTATTGAGCATGACGTGGCATGTTAATGATTTTTGCGTCCGCTCGTTTTTCAATGGCATACATTGTAAGTTGCCCGGAGGCTTAAATAGGGCTTGACACCAGGCCCTCGAACATTAAATGTGAGCGATTCTTATTGCCTGCTCATTACTTCTGAACAGGGAGCAGAGGCCAGTTTGGTTTTGGTTGTGTAAATATGCAGAAGTGCTTTAACCGACCAGATGACCTTCACTCGTTTTGGCTAACAAGCCCTGTGTGCTCACCGGGGGGCCCCCCGCTGGTCAAACGCCGTTCCTCGTCAGTTCATTAGAAAAGCAAGTGACTTAAAGTGACTATTGGGTGTCCCACGGTTACCTTGTGCGAAGGCTCATAAGTTCTTCTCCAAAAGTGCGTTTGTACTATCTGCTAAGATGCTGTGTTTCTCTGCCCGGCATAATATTCCCGTCCGGCTCGCAGCTGCACGCTGTTGTTTTCCAGATGGCCCTCTCGTTTGGGGTCGGAACATCTGCCTTGCCCTGACATTTAACAGGAAACGCATCACCATGGAGGACGCTCTCCTCCAACCCGAAGCTGCCATGGCTGCTCTGTTGGCCACGTGTGTATTGATTGCACTAGAGAAGATTGCAGGTCTCTGCCTCATTAAGCTCTCGCTGTCGGCAGCATCTAGTCCATCGCTCGGCCCGTTATTATTCTTTTTTTTGTTGGTTCACAATAAGGCTGGCTTAATATCCCCTTGCTGTGTACTCAGTTTACCGCCATTTAGGCAGCTGAAGGGCAATTGCTGAGTATTTAGCCTCAGTCAATGAGAAGTAGAATTACTCCGATTGCATTTAGGACAATAATAGTTGTCACGGTTTTTGTTCCCGGACTTGGCTGGGTTTTCTCGTACACCCTTCCGTCCGTTCTCTGTGTTATTATGTGTGAATCCCATCGCTGAGTGCCGGCGTTACCGCTGCGTCCTCCACGCGAGGGGTTCTGGAAACGAAAGGGAGCCGATGCTCGGCTCCTGGTTCGCCCACCACGGCGCCCCCATGTGATCATGACAGCCGCGCAGGACGGAGGGTGGAAAAGCTGCGCTTGCTTCGTTGGGCTCAGGAGGTGACCAAAACATTGTGGGTAATATTTTGACAAAACAAGGATTCTGAAATGTTTCGACATATAGTCACTTTTTCTTAAATAATTTAAAGACATTGTCATGTTTGGTAGCTATAATCTGAACAGATGGCTTTGCTCATGCATGAGGCTTAATGCTCGCCTTTGACCCTTGACATACTTTATGATTATGTCCCGCTGCCTTTATTCCGGGAGGCTGATTAGGTTCTCGCCGGCCTTTTCCAAGACGCTTAGCGTCCATCCCATATTGCCGTTTGCTGTCTTCTTTTCACCCCTAGACTCCATCCCCTCCGTCCGTGTGCTGCAGCAGCTGGTTAGTGCTAAGCAGTGAGTCCTGTGACATGTAGCACAACATATGAAATCCCCCCCCACCCCCCTCCGCCTGCCATCAACTCTTACGCACGCGTGCGACAGTATTCAAATCAGCTGCATAATCATTCGTCAGACTTCCTCTCTGTTCTTACTCCGATCTGACCGTTTGGAACACAGTGTGTTCTTTGTTGACCCTTTTTTCAAAGCCAGGATTGGAAATTGTTTTAGGCATTACATCGTTATCCTTGGAAGCGATCTCAAAGCGACGGGCTCGAGTGCCGGTCTAAGTAGAGAACACAGAGCGAAGCAACTCTTTGTGTGTTCTGTGAGGAAGGCCGCTGTAATTTGACTTTTTGTGGACAGCAGTCCACTCAGTGACGCACGTGATAAATAAGCTCAAGCTGTCTCTACAACAACAACAACAACAACACACCTTCACTGACCATGCGCTCGCCTAATTCTCTTTCCCTTTCCTCCCCTCTCCTCCACTCTAACCAATGTGTACTAACCAAAATTCAGGGCCCCCCCTCCCCAAAAGAATGAAGAGTGTTAGAGTTATGAAGCATGTGGTGGGTAAAGACTGAAGCGCTGTCACAAACCCCCCAACCCTCGGGGGTGGGCCTGGGTCACATTTCTCGTCTATAACTAGAATAGACTCAAATGGTGAATTAGTGAGTAGAAAAATGAAATACTGTGTTTTCTTAAAACAACATGGATTTTGAACGCAACCCTTAGGTGACCATCTGAAATGTTGTTTGCTACATTTACCCATAAAATGTTATTATTTCTCGTTAGGGTGTTTGAGTTGGTAACTCAAATCCATTCTCTACACTTGGTTTTTAGGAGCGCTGGTGTTTGTACTTCAGTCCAATTTATCATTCCAGCTTGGTTAGACGATGCTATGCGAATAAACCCCTTTATAATCAGTATTTCTGCAACAAAGCACCATCTAAATGGTGTATAGCTCGTATTTTTTGATGAAGAATTGGTCTTTGGTTATTTTGAATCTTAAAACCGGTTTACGATTACATTGATTTACATTTTATGCACATCTGGATTCTGCGCCGAGTTGTGTATGAGACCTTTTTTGTAGAAAGTGAGATTTTGATGTAATTTTATATATATATATATATATATATATATATATATATATATATATAGCGCAGATCTGAATGGTAAATAAATCATGTGAAAGCATCCCAATGCTCAATCGATGGGGAAATATGAATGTTGCATAATAGAACGTTTCTGACTGTGGGATAGTTCAGGTATACTGATACAGATCATATGAGGAAAATATATAGGTTTTCAATGATTTAAAAAAATGTAAATCTGTTATAGGAGACATCAAGTATGAACCTGGAAATGAGGGTTGCATGTCTCCTTTAAGAGCTCGTCGCCCCCCCCCCCGGCTTCCTCAGATGATGCCTTGCTGGTTTTTCTCACGTCAAGGAGGAAAACTAATGGCGCTCGTGCATTTGACTTCCCATCATTCCTCTTCATCATCTTCGCTTTAATCAAAGGTCAAAGATAAGTCATCTTTATCACACGCCGGACTGCTATTAAGAGTCCTCCCGTTTGCCTCGTGGTGGAGGGAGAATGGTGACAGAAGGTGAACCGTGAGTGTTGTCAGTGGGCCGATATTAGTTAGAAGGATTTTCCAACCAGGCTGTATAAGTATGACAAATGACCGGGCCTTCATCAAATGGGGAATTTGGGCGTTTGTCAGTGCCGGTCTGTTTGCCGGATGGTGGCCATCAACGAGCCTCAGGCCAACCTCGGCCCAGACACCGCTCTCCAAAGCCATCGAACCGCACAACCGCATGAAATAATCACCAAACCTTATGGAAGCCAGATTTCTTAACTTCCATCCCAAATGGGGACAGAAAACCCCTTGAAGAAGATGTGCATTGAGAGTTGGACATGAGTTGAGCGCCACCAGTTCCCGTTCGAATAATGGTCGTTTTGCTACACAAAGTCTTTAATGATGCTTCTCTTTCCACCTGAAAGGCTTGTTGGTTGGTTGGGATAAAGATTTATCAGTGAAGCTGGTATTATGGTCAAATGAATGGCGGCAATTATTGTTTTATTTTGGATTGTTGCATTTTATCATTAACTTAAATTGAATTAGAAGCTACAGCCAGAGTGATATGATTAGGGATGATATGATTCCAGACAATTTATTTTCGTGTCAGCATGAAGTAATCAGAAATAATAATGACTTAAATAACCAATTTCCATTTTAGAAGTAATGACACCTTTTTCCTCTTTCCTTTACAGATATCATTGACAAGAGCGAATTGAAGGCGTTCTTCGAAAGCAACTGTTCTCAGATTTATTTTATCTTCTACGAAAATTTCATCACACTGGAAAGCAACTTAAAACTAAAAGGTGAGTTCTAAGGTCGTTTTTTTCTTCTTTTTACTGCACACTCACTAGCTGCCCACCACCATCAATGGTGGTTCAATAATTAACCCTCTGCCTGCGCTACACGGTGAAGATTTATTTCTTATTGCCACATTTAAAGCACAATGTGCACATAGATTAGCAATTACTGGTTATGTCCTGAGTAACTGGGCTGGGAGGGGGGGGGGGGTTGCTAAATGTTATTGTTGCATTATTCATGAGACCAGTGTGGTGTACTTTTCTGGTGTGTGTTTAAAAAAAAAAAAAACCTAAGTCCTTTGTGTTTCAGGGAACAAATCTCAAAGGGAGGAGCTGGACTCTATCCTCTTTATTTTTGAAGTAAGTCGTCCTTTCTCCTCCTCTGCTACTACTCTTTGCCTGTGATTTCCTCTGACAGCCTCCACGGTCTCCACCTGTCGACTGCTGATCTCTGGTGCGGAACCTTTCCATGCTGCCGTACTGCACGTAACTCCGGCTACCCGGGGAAATTGCCTTAAATAGCCTGGAAATCATTCGCAGATTGTGCAGATGACAGAAAGAAAAAAAACGAGAAAAAAAATCCGGGCTCAATCATTTTCCGGCCTTTGACGCTGTCCGCTTGTTCCGTGTCTCTAACAGCCAGGTGTGCATGCAAATCCGAGGAGGTATGTCATGTGTTTCGGGTCTCTTAGCCCCTCCCCCTGTTATTCTCAACGCTCTTATGTGACACACACACACACGCAGGTTAAAGTCCCCCACCTTGTTTTCCCACCTGACTCCAAAGGCAGCTCCGGTTTCCAACAGCAGCCTGCTCTCCAGTTACATTTGCTCAGGGCAGGGCTGTAAGGATGGACGCAGATCAACACAATAACAATGCGCTCGTCTTTGTACTGTATGTCTTGTCCTCGTCTTTTTCTAAAGCACAGAAAGAGCCGATATTTCATTTGATTTACAAAGTAGCATCAGCCAGACACTGTTGTTATCTTTCTTTGCTTCGCAAGCTTATCTTTTTTCTTTTTTAGGCTTTTATCTTTTCTGGTTCTTCCGCCTGAGCGTGTTGTGGTACTTTTGTGTTTGTTTTTGTGCGTCTGCTGATGCTACACTCACTTGTTCAGGTGTGGAATTCACAGGGTTTTTATTATTACATTTGTATTTTTATGATCGATTTAAAACAAAAATCTTCATGGAGATCAGTTCTCCCCAAAATATAATTGACCTCCCTGCAGTTTTCCCCTGTGCTCCCCCTTTCCTTCACACCCAGTCATCTAGCCCGTCAACAAAGCCTGGATTCATCCCTCTTACATATTTATGGAGTCATCTTTCAGAAATGAATAAATATTGAAAGCAGCTTGACCCTCATTTGTCCCCTTTTAGCCCCCGGCAGCCATCGTGTGCGTTTACCCGTGAGCTGAGAAGATAAGCTTGCTCTAAGTGTACAGGACGGATACACAGTTGCTTTGATCCGGAGCTCTGCTGCACTCTGCAGTCTCTCTCCGTACGCCATGGTAGATCGGTCGTGTCGGGTCACTTGTACTCGTGAATGTGATATCAGAGGACGTGCGTTTGTGCTCACAAGTGTGCACTGCTAATGTGTATCATGTACTCTCAGAGCTGAGTGCAGTACAGGGACATGACAAAGGCAGTGAAAGATGAACTACTATTACATCTTCAGGCAGGTGCAATCCGCGCTCTGATGTATTCTCGCAATCGTGTTCAATTGTGTTCTTTTTTGTAAATGTGTAGCAGGGGTTTTAGTCCCATCGGTCGACCGACCCAAAACGTAAACCCCAGCAGCCTTTGTCCAGAAAGCCTCAAAGCGGCGGCTATGAATGGACATCGGCTGAGACAAAGGGCGTTCTGCGGCTCCGTGACACCCTCCAGCGCCGCGTGACAGGTCCATGGGAACGACGCGGCTCACACATGCCCGTCCCTCTTGTATCTGTGTAAGAATGTCTCTGTAGAGCCACAGTTGTGGTATCCATGCGCATCAATAGCCCCCTGCCCTCTCCATCAGCAGAGACCCCCTCTCGCATTGAAATGCGGCAGACCGATGCGTGTCTCCGGCATGTGTGGGGATTACTCTGCTGTCATGATGAGGCATGTGACCCCCTTTTTTTCCCTGGGGTTGCTGTTGGGGGGGTGGGGGAGTAAGATTCCCCCATACTCCGCCTGTTTGAGTAATAGATATCTTTAGGGGGTAATCTTTTTGTCCACTCCCTCTCACCCCCCTCCCCTCCCTGCTTAAACTCTGCTAAACACCCCACCCCCACCATCAGCAGAAGCCATTCCCTCCCTTTGTGCCGAAGGCGTCCGCCATGGCAGCTCGTGATGCTGAGACCAGAGATGAGAGACCCGATCTCTGTGAGAACGCGTCGACACATCTTTTTATCAATAGGAGGTTATTTTGAATCGATGGGGAAAATCTGCACCCCCCTCCATCAATAATCTAAACTAAATCATCACCGGTGCTGCCAACCGTGTTCAGCGTGCACCTTTTGTGTGATTAAGGTGCGATGAGTAATTGTATGTTCAAGTGTTGGGTCTGTCAGTCAGTCACCGAGGGAGGGGTTGCAGTGAGAGTAGCAGCAGCCAGACTCTCGTGAAGCTAGAGAGTCCAAATAAACGAGCTTTGAAACCAGACACACTGTGGGCTGAGTGGTATAGGCAACAGTATTCGATATGAAGGTAGAAGGCTACTGAAAGGCCGCTGTGGTCGGAGACTACCAAACCAGACGAGAGCATTTCCTGTGTTTTTTTTGGCTTTTAGGGACTCGTGTTTGTTCACGCTCCTGTGCGGCCGTAGACGACCTCTCGCTGTCTGAGGGCAGCTCGGTGCTGGTGCCACTGAGGTTGTGGGACAGGTTAAGGGACAGCCGTGGGACCAGAAAGACTCCGAGGGAAGTCTGTTGATGTCCACTCGCTCTCTTAAGGAAATGACCTCAGCGTGACCCGATGTCCGTCATCCGGACCTGAGTCAGCATTCTGAATTCCACTCGTGATGCTCTGTGAAAGCCCCTCATCCAGAATGGAGACTTGACTTACTGAGTTGCCTCATGTGGGGAGACCTAATCATTATATCTAGCTAACCAGTTTGGATAGATGAATATTTGTTCAAGCTCTTTGACTCTTTTGACTAATTTCACTTTATTCTACACAGATTTTCCGTCCAGGGGCAGACAGATTTATATTCCACGCCGAAATGTGAGCTCTGTGACTGTAAACGTTTAGCAGTTAGTGGGTTGATAATTAAAAACAGGCCGTCACTCTGGGCCGTGAGCACCCGTCCACGGCCTGTTTCTGCCCGATGCGACGGCGTCACGCTCCTCTCGAGGCGCAGAGACTCTCCTCCACATGTCGACTCCCATGTTGCAGAGGAGCCAACGCAGGGCCATTTAGCTAAGTGATTTATTCTCCCTTCTTTACGCAGTCCTAGTTATGACTGACAGTTCACCAGCAGGGGGTTAGTGGTTAATGCATGAATGCAAATTCACTAAGTGTGGCTCGGGTGTGCACTTGGAGCCGGCTGAGTAAATGAATCTTAATGAGGAGATGCTTTAACTTGTGCCCGCGTTCACCCTTCGAACCGGAGCAGATAAAGTTCCGCCGCACAATATCTAGACGAGTGTGTGTGTGTGTGTGTATGTGTCTGTCTGTGCGCGTCACAGGCAACCGCACATGTCAAGTCCCTTTATATTAAAAAGCACATTTGAAAACACCAGTTGAACCGAAAGTGCTTTCAGTAGAGATGGGATCCACCTCAACACAGATATATATATATCAATTATAAAAGGGCAAAAAAGGCAATTATATATATATATATATATATATATATATATATATATATATATATATAAATTCCACATAGTAATAAATGAAAGGAAATCATGGAATAATGAATTTAAACCATGTAAGACGAAAATATAAATGTTTTAACTTCTTATTTATAAAATAAAATCTATGAATTTGTCGTGATGTTCTTAAGCCATCTTCTGTTGTCTGTACTGTTGTAAGCATAATCATATTACAAACCATTTCAAAATGGTCCTGCTGCTGCAGCGAGGCTTTCACTCAGAGCAAAGAGCCCGATGGGGGGGTTTGTTTTGCTCTCCGCTGCTGCCCCCCTCTGGCTGCAGAGGAGACCTCAGTGCACTTTGGCAGGAGGTCCTCGAGCAAAACTCGAGAAAGTAAAAGTCCCACTTTGTTATATCTCGGGGCCAGATAGGCTGTGCTCCGTCTAATGCTTGTTCAACCAGCAGTCTGGTTAGCATGTAAATAAGCACGCTGGTTTGGTAAAGCACTTTAAACAGATCAGATGTGTATCTGACGCCTTTTGTGATGTTAGTGCCGCGGTCGAATGACGTCGTCGTCGTCTTTGTTTAAGACCCACGCTGTATGCAAAGGACTATATTCCCCCCCAGAGAGTGTCTGTCCCCCCCCTGGAAGTGTATTCCGTGTCATGTTCGGGCCCTGCGACTGGAAACCTAAGTGCGGATCATGTAAATGCGTCCGGGCTGTAGTTGCGGCGCAGTAATGCTCCGATCGTTATGCCGGAGTACGGCTGCAGATTAGAGTAACTCCGCCAACCTTCACTTCGGCAGACTCTCCGTCCGCCCGTCATCAGCCGGCAAATTCCTCGTTGTTGCCGCCACCATTCCGGCTCCGCGGGGAGTCTTTCTGAGCCGGCTTCTCCATCTCATTCCCACTCTCCCGTCCTGGTCCTCTTTGAGGAGAGAGAGTGTTATTGTGTCTGCTTGCACACACACACACACACTCTCACAGGGAGAGGCTTAAGCAGGCCACCCTGCTGTGTTGCCGCCGAGCATAATGTGTCTGCTGCCCCAAGGAGACTGCGTGAAGGAGGCCAGTTTGAAGCCTCCACCGAGACGTACTAATCCCTCGCCGGATCAATAGCGAGGTGCAGCCGGTACACGCATACCATCACGTCTGTGGATCAGAGAGAAATAGAACGGCGCAGATAGCGATCCGGAGCCCCCTTAAAGCCCTGTGTGTGTGTGTGTGTGTGTGTGTGTGTGTGTGTGTGTGTGTGTGTGTGTGTGTGTGTGTGTGTGTGTGTGTGTGTGTGTCTTTCAACATCTGCGCGGTCTCCGGTAATGATGGGGATTTAGTCCCAGAGGACAAGAAGGGAAAGTTAAACATGGAGGATGACGAGGGGAAGAAGGACGTTGTTGACAAGCTGAGACTTCTGGAACAACACAGCTCCTCTCAGCATATTGTAGCACGGAGCGAAACAATTCTACGGTGGTAATATTGCCATTGAACAAAGCAAATAAACTGAATAAATGATAGAAACAAGCAAATGAATGCTGACATTTTACTGTGTAAAGACGGCACATGTAATATTGGTATTGTTGTAAAGATTACCAGTTAAGTTTATCAAGTGTCCTTGATGAAATGCTCCCTGCTCACTGCAGTGGCCCTTTGCTTCTGTGGACGGCTTCGTCTGTCTCGTGTCTGTCTCTCTCGGGGGCAGATGAGTCTTTCATTATGCCGGCCCCCAGTTGGTGGTGTGGTTGAGTGGGTCAGAGCAGTAAAGGACAGACTTGACCTCTCCATTGCAGTCACGAAGCCTTATTGGGCCAGTGATTAGGATTTGATAGAAAGTGAGCCATAGGAGGGAAGGGGGGGGCTACAGTCGCTCCCAGTCTATCGACCATTAACCTGCCTTTTATTCCCCCCCCTCACACCACCCTCCCTCCAGAGGGACCCAGTTAACCTGTCGCTGCATTCAAGAATAATGATCGGCCGCTGAAAGGTTAGGGCGCTCTAATTGAGTTGTAAAGCGGTTCTTGGCGAGGTGATGACATTTCTCAGTGGCGTCCTGTGTCGCAGGGATCTGCAGACATGCCAGGCCGAGTGGGGAGGGGGGGGTTAGGGGGGGACACTGCGCTCCTGAAGAGCACGCTTCTCTGGCAGAGCGGCGCCGCTTACCAGAACTTCAGGAAAAGGCTGCACACTGAAGCCTAATGGAGACGTTATGTTACCATTACATCTTTAACCTGAACCTTTTCTCCTGTTTCATCAGAAAATTCTTCAACATCTACCTGAGAAAATCTACAACCGATGGCAGTTTCACAGTATAGGTATGCATTTACTTTTACCAAAATGAATTCTTTGAATGTTAAGCTTTTACACTTGACAGGTAGTTTACACACTTTGTATGCTGCATGTTTCTGCTTATTTCTCTGTAACCTCCAAGATACACTTCAGGAAGACAAAGGTTAGCCATGCCTAAGCCTTTCGTAATGAAGAGAAAATAATTAGTCTTAGAAGGGGATGTAAATAGAAAATGCAAATGAGGCCTTCATTTGAAATGCAAATAAGTGATTGAATTATGCTGCCATGATTTTAGTCACACACACACACACACACACACACACACACACACACAACAGCCCCTCGCGAGAAACGATAACCCCAATTATAGCTTTTGTGAGTTAACAGTCCAGGTCCAGATTGTGGTTGGAGATTGGCCTTCCCCTCTGGCTTAGCAATTGCAAATATCAAAGCCCATCTGGAGACCAATCCACCACTTTTTCAGTCACAGGACGACACGTGGTCGCGGCCCTAAGGCCGCCCCGTGGCCCCCTCTTGGCTGGTTTCTGAACGGTCTTCGGCGCTCCCTGGTTCACGGGTCACTGGTCAAGATGCGCTGCTTTCGCTCTGTTTTGAAGTCCGTGCGGTGGCGCCTGGGTTGCTTCTCGCCGTGCCTGACTTTTATCAAATAGAACCATTTATTTCTTTTTTTTAAAGCATTCTACAGGCCAGTTACGCTGCTGAAAGCATATTATTGCCCTGGGATGAATTCCTTTTGCTGGGTCAGGAAGCTGAAGAATGACATTAATGACTTGTAGTGTTTTTGTCCTTTTCTAGCTGAGGATCGCAAGGTCACAGGTATTTGATTGACACAACAATTAGACGCTGAGGAAAATCCTCACACCTTTCATCGTCCTTTTGTTGGCTAACTTCTAATTCGTACTCTCCTGAGCCCTAGAGCTTTTGAAAGGATCTCTTTATGTGTCCGACGTCGGAGCGTTATTGATTGAACCTGATGAGAGGGTAACAATGAAAGCACCAGACAAGCTGAACTCACTCTCGCACCTAATTGTGTCTGGGTCAAATCATTCAGTTGAGCGAGGCTTCTCCCACCGCTCCTAACGTAATCGCAATTTTATCCACGATCTTACAGATAAAATACCTCTACAAACTACACCTATGAACAGGTGCTGTCTGCAGGCTGTCAAGAGCGTGTCCTGACTCGCGCGCACACACACGCCCACACACACGGACCTCTTCCGCTCAACGTATTTAGCAATCAGAGCAATGTCTCATTTGATTACAGTGGAACCAGATTGCCTCCATGAATCCATGTCACTGCCAACTGATGTTAATTTCCATCAGGATAAAAGTGAAGCCTTGCCGCTCTCCCCGCTAGTTTGTGAGAACCAGCCATTAAAGTCAATTTGCCTCAGTGGCGATGACACGCGGCCTCCTCCTGCTTGTCGCGCAGCAGACCGGTTGAATAATTTGATTTTTTTTCTTCCAGGTTCCATATTGAAAAAACTTTTGCACACTGGAAATTCATTCAAGGTAAGTGCTTTTTTAAAATTGTGATCGTTGCCACAAATCACCGTCTCACAGCCCCCTGGCAGATTGCAACAAATCTCTCTTGTGCATCCCCCTCCTGTCCAGATCCGATGTGAAGGCATCCGTCTCTTCCTGCTGTGGCTGCAGGCCCTGAGGGACAACTGTGCCGAGGAGCAGTTCCTTATCTTTGCCTGTCTAGTGCCGGGATTCCCTGCTGTGCCCTCCTCCAGAGGGCCCTGCACCCTCGACACCATCATCTACAACCCCTTCTCCAACCCCGCAGATGGTGAGTGTGAATGTCTGTACGCGTGTGATCGAGTGCATTACGACACTAAACTGAAACTTCAGTTACACAACCAAACTTGTAAAAGTAGATTTTTGGTTTTCCTGACACTGATCTCGGCTCTTTCCTCTGTCGATCTGAGCAGCTAAGGTGGTTCCTGAGGAGATCACCCCGCTGGTTGCAGCAGTGGTCGGAGAAAAGATTACAGATGATCCGACCTGTTACATCCTAGAAACGCTGCTCAAGTACATGGTCATCCAGGTAATAACTGATTATGCTAGGGAGTGCCCACACAACCTTTTTCCCAGATTGTCGGCTCCAATGTGGTGTGGATTTCGATCTAAATCCCTTGTTCGCATCGGGTGACAGGCAGCGGCACAGGGGGGGGGCTTTGTATGGGAGGTTTGCATGTGAGATGGAGGAGCAAATATTTGTTGGCAGTGATTCCCAGAAGTCATTACCAGGGTTGTCTGGTATATGGGTACAATACCATCCATCCTCCCGTTCAGGCTCGCCAACCCAGCTGACGTTGGGCAGAGAGAAGAGATAAACAATCCTGACGTAGAGAAATCATCCCCTGGCCATAGACATATTCCAGCGTATTCCATAAGCAGTGTGAGCGCGTGTGTTTATGTAATGGCTCGGGTAGATCGTGATCCCCGTGTTGTACCACAGTGACAGGAAAAAACTAAATACAATATCAGTAGTGAAGCCAGTTGACTTTGAGTGTGCTCTTTTTATGTGAACCTCACCTGAAGCGTTGTTCCCCTTGTGTGTACCCTTAAGAGATGGACTGATGTATCGTTTGTTAGAGGAACCTTCACAGTATTGTGTTGCGAACAATATACTGTCTCTTTCAAGCGATGCTGGAACTCTCCCCTCTACCTGAGGCCTGACCTTGTCTGCCTTTGTGCTCTCTCCGCCAGGCATCCAGCTTAGAATGGCGCAACAAAGAGAACCAGGACACCGGCTTTAGGTTTCTCTTCAGCCTGTTCAAGAAGTACTACCTTCCACACCTCTTCCCCGCCTTCACCAAGCTTACGAATCTCTACATGCCCTTATTAGGTAAGCTGGTGATATACAAGAATGGACTGTTACAAAACCGTGCTGAGCGGAGGCTTTTCAGTGGGTAATTTAAATTGTGAGTCTTTGACAAAAAAATTGACAATAACAGTTTAATTAATCAAACTCATCTTTTTGGCAGAGAAGGATGTTGCAATACCATCTGTCTAGACTCCAAAACGTGGTTCTAAAACTGATGAGCAATATAGATTAATAGCACGCCGCTTGTTAATTTGCAGAGGTGTATCAACGTTATAATATTAATATAATAAATGCTATTCTGTTTGTGTTTTGCCGGAGACGTAATCGTTGATTGAAAAATGTGTGATGCAGCTGGAGACTGGAAAACCCGTCACAGCCAGACATCTGGTGTTGACGTTTAATCTCTCTTTGTCTTTGTTTCTCGCTCTTTTTAAACTATTATTAATATGTGAACCTTCCCTCTCTGACCATCGTTCCGTCTTCATTCCCACCACATTAGACCTCCCCCACCACAGACCAAAACCCTTGTATGTGGCAGTGACGCGAAACAATGAGAGCACCTTCTGCACCAGGGACCAGTACCTGGCGCCCCGCGTGGCCTTCATCACCTGGCTGGTCACCTTCTTCCTGGAGAAGAAGTATGTCAGCAGCGCTGCTTCGGCGCAGAGCGCCAAGAACGGCACCGAAGTCATTCCCAAACTCATCCAGGTGAGAGGGAGAGTACCATTCCCTTGATTTTTCATGCGGTCACTGTCGGGAGGGTAGGTTGTTATGAAGGTAGGGTTGCAGCAAAATCTGAGCTGCATCTGTTTGAAGATTCCCTAGAGTCACCTTAATCACAGGGTGAGACAGCGGGGAATTAAATGCACAATCAACATGATTGTGATTGCATGGAGGTGAGAATCACTTAATATTAATGACCAGTACAGTGGCTCATTCCCCACATAAATGACCATGAATCACAATCTAGGAATTTCTAGTCAATGAGGCTCTAGGGCCCAATTATTTAGCTGTGGAGAGGCAGCCCTGCAGCATATTTTACTGTGTCTCCGTGGTGCCCAGACTGTCACTGCAGGCAGTAGCAGCCAGGAGAAGGATAAGACATCGGATGGGGATACGATTGGGCCAGCAGGGGAGCCGGAGAAGAGCCACTCAAACAGCAGCACTCTGTCAGACCGTCGGCACAGCGATTCCAGTTTGTGTAGCATTGAGGAGGAGCACCGCCACGTCTACGACATGGTGCACAACATCCTGCTGTCCACCAGAGACAATGTGAATTTTGTCAACGAGGTCTTCCACCAGGTACAGTGGGGTCGCCATGCAGGGGATCTTTATTTGGTGCGCAACTACAACTAATTCCATTGCAGATATGGTCTAGTTTTCATCTGGGGGAGACCAGATGGGGACTCTGAGATATCGTGTACTATGTCGCCCTCTTCTGGCGGTTTCTTAACATGACCTAAAGGTGCCTCTTATGACCAGGCACCCCTCTTCAAACCATTCACTTGCCCATGTCCTCCCTCCTTAGGCCTTCCTGCTGCCGTCGTGCGAGGCTTCAGCAACCAGGAAGGTGATCCAAGTGTACAGGAAGTGGATCCTGTTGGAGAAGCCCAGCTTTATGATGGAGCCTGAGAAATCCACCCAGGAAGATGAGGTCGACCGTGCCGAACCGACACTCAGCCCAGAGGTTAACAGCATGCAGGTAAAATGGCCAATTCAGATATATTTTATTAAACCGTATACATAGATACAACTTTTCAAATTAGTTATTAAATAGTAAAAAGGTAGCTAAGAATATACATACATATACAATATACATCAATTTTCCAATTGACTAACACGACACACTCACCTTTACACAATAATCTTTTATTAATTCTAGAAATTAAACTCATATTTTACATTAATAAAAGTACAATTATTCCCTCAAAGAATCCTGATGTAAAACTAAAAACTGCAATAGCACAGACGATCAATACAAAAATATTTTTCCTAAAGCATCAGTGAACATTATTTTGACCATGTGAGGCAATTATTGTGGGCAAGTACAAGGGAGCAGGTCTTTGGTGAGCCTGTACATAGAAAGAGACCTGTGCATCATGCGTGAAGCACATTAGAACTGTTGGACCTTCATATTATACCATGAATAAATAAGAACTTGTACCTCAATGCATGAAAGCCCAAATCTGTTTTGGTGGCAAAATTCAAATCAATTATTTACAAACAGGCGTAATCATAAAACAAATATCAACCGGTGCAAATAATGGGATGAAAGCCGCTCATTTCCATCCAGAGAAAAGCCGAGAAGTAGATTCTGTTAAGACAACTAATTGGCCACCTGGGACAGAGTGTGTAGTTTCATCAGATACACAACCAAACTTTAAATTGAATAGGTATGGGTGTGATTGTCTTGAGATTTTGGAACAAGCAGATGTGTCTTTTTGCTGCAAGGAAGACCAGTTAAAGCTCTCTTGTGTAACTGCAAACACACAGCTCGAAGGACAGCTGTGACAAATGCATATATATCATATAACAATTAACAGGCTAGAGATAAGAAATACTACAAAAAATACTTTTTTATTTCATAAGCCGCATCGACCCCTCCAAGAAGGACTCAAATGATCATATATAAACACGTTACGACCATAGGATGTTTAACCCGATCAGAACTAATATCACAGCTTCCATCTGCCGACCAATCGACTGGCTGCTCTTTCTTTCTACCAGATGGCGGAAACTCCCGGCCACAAGCGTTCGTCCAGCTGGGGGAGGACTTACTCCTTCAGCAGCGCCATCAGTCGGGGGTTTCTCACCGAGGGGCAGAACAGGGATGTCAAGGCTGGTATCCAGCCCACACTACAGGTGTGTCTTCATAGGCTCACTGTTTTTTAAAATATTCTGAGGTCACAGCATTCCAACCGTCACCCGCTTCGTCCTTGTGTCTCGCCGTCTGCTCGACCTTGTTGCGTCTTCCTCGCCGTAGGTGTTCCTGACCAACTCGTCCAACGTTTTCCTGCTGGAGCCCTGCCAAGATGTAGCTAAACTCCTGGATAACCAGGTGGAGGTGTGCAAGGGCATTCTCAGCATCTACAGGCACATGATCATGGAGCACACCATGAACACACAGACCTGGTCAGTCACACATTCACACAATGATTCCAATCTGGCCTCGACACCGTTCAAACCGACTTCTCTGTGCTCTGCAGGGAGCAGATGCTGCAGGTGCTGCTGAGGATCACAGAGGCGGTGATGAAGAGACCACAGGAAAACCAAAGAAAAGACCGCTTCGCTGAAAGCTTAGCGTCTATACTTTTCAGGGTACGTCTACTTTTGCTTCGTTTCACACCAACTGGTACGCCGGTATTTCATCATACCTGCAGTCTGTCACTGTAGTAAACAGGAATTGCAGAACATTACATTCTGTGCATTGATCTTCATGAGCAGCCACCGTGATTTGTTGCTGGGCAACTTGTATTTTCTGTTTGTCTTGGATGGATTGTTTGCTGAAAAAAATCCAAAGAGACACTGTACCTAATTAGATGTATCGGTACGAGAGTTCTGCTGTCACATCTCATCTGATACCTGCAACCCTGTCTGTCGATGCTAATTCATCTTCCCTCGCCCCGTCTCCCATTCAGACCATCATCGTGGCGTGGGTGCGAGCCAACCTGTGCGTGTTTATCTCCCGGGAGTTATGGGACGAGCTGCTGGCAGTGCTGTCCTCTCTCACCTGCTGGGAGGAGCTGGTGACGGAGTGGGCCAGCATCATGGACTCGCTGACGGCTGTGCTGGCACGCTCCGTTTACGGTCTGGACATGGCCAACCTGCCTCTGGACAAACTCAGCGAACAGAAGGAGAAGAAGCAGAGAGGACGTGGTGAGGGAGGAGGGTGGGAACTGTGAGGACTAGAATTTGGGTGACTTATGGGTGACTTTATTTTTTTTTCACATGAAGAAAATGGCTAGCTTTTAAATATTTAACACATAAATAACGTTTATTGACACTTGTTGGCTTTGTCTTTTCTGGTGCAGAACAACAGGTGGTCACCAAAGCCATACGTGCTCAAATACTTCATATTAGAGCTTCAAGTGTGTACTTGAGCTCATTCTAGTTCCAATAATACCCACACTACATGCAGCACATGGGAAAATAGACATAGATGTTAACAGCCACTATCTGTTCTGTGGACTTATGGTCTAATAAACCATCAGGACTATCACAACTGTCCTTGTTGAGACAATCTGTACCAGCCGGTAAAGGGATGGTGGTTCTAACCTTCATTATTAGTAAAAATGTATATTTAAAAAATGTAAACGTCCGTATTAGAACTATTGAGCACTGTCGTTCTCTGCATGGCAGGTGTGATCCAGGACTCCCAGAAGGCAGCGGCGGTGGCGCGTTCCTTCTCACTGAGTTGGAGGAACCAGGGGGAGACGGGCGGGCAAGGAGTTCAGGAGCCCATGAGGATTCGCTCCGCCACTACGTCAGGAGCTCCTGGTGTAGAGAAAGCCCGCAACAACGTCCGCCAGAAGGCCTCCGGTAAGCGCTTGAGATGTTAGTCACGGCACTGTTGTTGTTTTTTTACATGAACACTACTACGCTATCGCAGCCAGCAAATCTGTTAGAAGAGCGACCGTGTGCATGCGTGGTTCTATGGACCGGCTTTACGTGGGCCAACGGCACGGTGCTGATAAACCCGCGGAGCACAGCGTCACACGACGGGCTCCACCGGACGTGTTGACTGTGCGTGAAAGCCCCTCCGACAGGTCCGTGTGTACGCTAGCCCAGGTGTCGCTGAAAGGCCCGACGCCCAAGACAAAGAGGCCAGCAGGTGGCTCCCATTGTTACACCCCCACCCTCCCCCTCCTCCCACATGTCACTGGCCAATGTCAACATGTTTCCGTGTCAGCTCGATTGTCGACATACAGCACAATCTCCACACTGGCCCCCCCCCCCCCCCCTCTCCCCTCATCCCCGGCCCCGACAGCATGTCAGAGGCCAGCTTTGGACACTCGTTGTCATTACCTCATTTCAGACCCCACCAGCAGCCCTTATCAGATGGGAATGTGGCAGGCTAATTAGAAGTCGAGCTGGAAGGCGGCAGAACAGTAAACCCGCCAGCGCCGCCTGTCTCGCTCGTCTTCATTTTGTCTCGACAGAATCTTAATGCGGAGGATAAAAGACAAGAGACGACGCCTTTTTACTTCTCGTGGCCTTCTGCCTCCCCAATTACCACGGCGTCCTAAAGCGACGGGCTCGTTCAACTAGGAGCGGATGTATTTGTGCGTGAAAGTGGTCTCAGGATGTGTGCGTGCACTTGTGTTTGTTTGTGTGTACCAGGCGCATTTACTATGCGTCTCATGTGCAGGTTTATGCACCTATTCAGCCACTCTGTTTATTCCTATCTACTTGCAGGCAGAGACGGACATTAAACGCTACTGCTTCAAATTCCCTTCCCTTTCTTTGGCCTAATTGGATTTCTCCCACATTGATCTTCAAAGGCCCGACGGCCCTCCTCCCCACTCCTCAAGAGAGGGCCCACGCATCGATCGCACAGCAGTTTGTGATAGTCTCATTAAGAGTGTAATTAATGCTCATTAATATGCACAAATAGGAAGCAATGGCGGGCTGCAGCACAGACGATGTCTCACTCCTGCTGAAAGGCATAATTAAAGTGCGCTGAAAAGAGAATGGAACCGTCCTCTTCCGTTCTTTCAGATTGGGCCTGAAGTGCTATCCAGACACGTTCAATGCCTCGGCATTGAAAACTGTCAAAACTTGACTGTACTTCTGCATGCAAATATAAACTAATGTTGTTCAAAGTTTTGGTTTCCATAATGAAGAAGCCGGCTGGACATTTTATCAAAAGGACGGTTCACCATAAAATCCATTATTCATGGTTCCTCCCCTCAGCCGTTGTGCCTTTATTAATCCAGATTGGCTGCGAGTCGCATGGTGCTCGCGGTCTTTCTTCCCTCCAATATGATAGAACCAGGGGGCACCTGCCTCGTGGTGCTCAAAGCGCTCACAAGGTTTGTCAAAAGTAATTCGCGAAGAAGTCATGACTTGATGCAGGAGTAAAAAACTACACTCACCAACATTATCACAGGTGGAAGTGTGCGTCTTTACTCACAAGTGGTTGGTTTAACATCATAGTTAAAACACAAGATCACAGCAAAATAAATGAATACACTATTTGATAATTTGCAGCGGCAGTCCTACTCTAGGAAACCAAAGTAATACGCAGCACGTGTATCTTATCACAGGATTTTTGTTTAGTGGCTAAGAAAGAATGTGATACTTTTAATTTGCAGAGCGTTGCTCCATGTCAAGAAGTAGTGCAAATTGAAATATAATCATGAAGCTATAAATAAGTATTGAAGCAAAGGATCGATCCACCAAAAGCCAAAGATACCAGCACGCTGCGATTATGTGAGGACAACTTTTCAAAAACAGACAGATTTGGGGTATATTGGAAAGAATCCTATTCTCACCTTATTCTCAGAACTACGGGTGTCACTCTTTTCTGGAAATTTTCCTCAATTCCATTTCACTGAAATCCTCAACTGACCAAACATTGGTTCTGCTTTTCTATTTACTCTGCGTTCCTGCTCAGGGATGTTTGTAATAATACTACTTGTTATGCTGTAATTGAATTCTGTCTCTTTCCCTTTACCTGTTTCCGCTGTCTTTCTCCTTCTCCTTCCTCCCTCTTCTTTTGTCCCGGATGAAAGCAAAGCGCAGCCAGTCCATCAGCAACTGTGTTCATCTGTACGAGGCTTTGCCCAACGCTAAAAGCGTCCCTATGCTGCTCCACACTGTGAGCTCTTTCTTGCCCGGTATCTCTTCTGGTAACTCTGCTTGCTCTCACAGACTCTCAGGTAAAGTGTGTTCTGGGAGCTGCATGCATGTGTGTGTGTGTGTGTTTGTGACCTCTATCAGTCATTGCTGTCAGTGCCCGAGAGGTTTGTGTCTTTACAGGATCTCAAGACCGCCTTGTGCTTACTTATCAGAATATCGTCTCCGCATGTGTGCATGTTCTCGCCGCTCTCCGATGTTCTGATGACCGTGTCAACTCCCTCGAGACGACTAATGAGACCTCTGGGCGTGTTAACATTTGAAGACCTGTGCTGTTGTTAATGTCTGCTTCCGGTCGCAGAGGCCTAATCCTTTTTTGCGTCATCTTTTGTCCTGCCGGCCCAGATGTGGAGGAGTGCCAGCTGTCAGAATGTGGGGGGGAGGAGGAGCTGGTAGGCGGGGAAAGCCCCCTGCCACGTAGCAGCAGCACCTCCGACATCACCCAACAGCTGTCGGACGCTTTACCAGGTACAAGACATTTTGATCCCTGTCATGGTTCGCCTCTCATCTTGACCGGAATCACACCCGCGGCCTTCTATTAATAAAGTAATATTTGTCGGTTAGCTCTGTGAAAGGGAAAGTCATCTGTCAGTTGAGTTGCAATTGAATTAATTTTACAGGATGGGGGAAATGGTACACTTACATAACATGACTTACATAAATACGAATCACATAGATACGTATTAAGCATTTTGGTCAGATATCAGGGACGTGTAGGCTATAGTTAGTGGTGATTTAGTTAGTATTCGCTTGAGGTTTAAAATCATTTGATTTATACATATTTTTTAGTATTCTGTGGTATGAGCTTTTTTTTTGCAAAATAAGACCATTTGAAGTCTGCATTTTCCTTTTAGGGGGACTAATAATATCTATACCATCAATAGATAGATCCTTGCGTTATGACGAGCCACCTTGGCTGTTTTTGAATCATTAAACAAAAGTAGTTATATATTGCTGTTTCATGTGTAGTATATGAATTCAAAATTCCATACCTTAACTGAGAAAGGTTCTCAATGTCGGGAGAAAAGGGTCAGGACACACCGCTTGGGTAATTTCTTATGTATTTTTATCTATTTATGTTGTATTACTTTATTTGACTTACATTGGTTAAATTAAAATATATATATGCGAATGAGCCTTGAAAAATACCATATTCTTGCTTATTAAATTCAACTATGGATCAATAGGGTATCAATAAAGCAATGAAATTTTTTTTTAGTCCACCTCATTTTCTTCTCTGTGTAACATCCCCTGTTTCACTTCAGCCCAGAAGAGAGAGCCCTCCCCCACTTCCTGCGGCTCTGATAGCAGGACCTCTGAGGGGAGGAGAGAGAGCAGCGAGCCACCAGTGGTGAGAAGAATCGTCTTCCATTATGTTCAAGCAATGAAACGAGATAGTTGCCCTTCAAGCATCTCTTCTTTAATATTTGTTTCTGTGATCCTAGATTCACATCCGGCGCAGCAGCAGTCCCACTGAAACGGAGTGCAGCGCCGAGGGACACACAAACGACCCAAGACCCAGGCTCAGAGAGAAAAGTCAGAGATTACTCCACAATTCTTTTACTTCTTTTTTTTTCATTTCAAAAGAGAGCAAACATCACAGTATCAAACACGGATTATCAATTCCTCACACAGAAGGTAATTCTCTGTATTTACCTTCTTGTGCATGCCCTTCATTCACCCGCCCTGCCCAGGTGAGAGCATAAGCAGCGAGACATCCAACGGCTACCTCAATGAAGCCGAGGTCACCTGGCCGGCCTTCGATGAGGAGGCTGACACTCAGTCGACGCAGTCGGCCCACATGGACGTGACTACTGACCCCCAGAGCCACGGCAGCCTGCTGCTCAGCCACAACGAGGCTCTAGCAGGTATTGGAACTGATAACAACTCACCCGGAGCACCTGAAACAGATCTGTTCACTGGAAATGTCAGTGTATTTTACATCCTGTAATGCAAAAAATACAGGCACCATTCAGGTTACATGGGATGACCTCGGGATTGAAATAGTGTGTCCCGCCTGGCCAGGTGCCTCCTATTCCCTCTCCGGATGGATTAGCTAAAGCCAGCTTCTGTGTCCCAGCAGCTCTCTGGCTAAGCCTTTCATCTTTATAAAAGCTGATGATAGTATGTGTCACCGGTGCATCAGTAAGACATTCATGACCCTCCTGCTTCAGCTTTTATTTGACCCCCCTCCCTGATAGTGGTTGCCCCCCTCCCTCCCCCCACCCTTGCACGTGAACTTCCGTCTGTGTTGTCCCACCTTGTGATCATCCTGAAGTTTCCCTTGTCCTTGTGCTCCCATCCTCAACCTCTGGTCCCCCCCCTTCCCTCCCTCCCCCCTGTTTTTAGGTCCCGAGTGTGCCTTCCCTCCCCACTCTGCACTCCCGTCTTACCACTACCACTACGCCCAGAACCCGCCCACCTCACCAGCCCTGCTGGTGCACACAGAGTGCCCGCAGGGGGGCCACCCGGACGACAACATGCATCCGTCTGTCTTACACATGCCACAGCACTTGGGTACCGCTCCATAGCTGCCGCTCACCATTCATGCTTAGTTTTATTTTGGTTCCAGGACCAGAAATGCCGATTAAATACATTTATTTGGTATTTCTGGTCCTCCTTTGATTTAGCTCAAAGAGCGGAACAATCTTTCATTTGATGATGATGTCTTTTAGACGCACTATTCATTTGTGTTGTCTTTTCCTGGCCTATACTCCCATTCTCTCCCCACTGTTCTCCTGATGCCCACCAGGTGACACCGTCCTCCCAGAATTCAGCTTGTGCATTTGGATGGTGCACATGACTTGTTTCCCAAAAGTTCTTCAGTATCAGTTGGACAAAGATCTGTGTGCTTTGATTGCATTTTAGGAAATTCACAGGCAGATTTTGTAAATAACTGCTCAAACTATGATGAAATCACTTTATTTGTGTTTCAACCCTCAAATCCCCCCCACAAAAAGTTGTCAACTGAATCCCATCCCCCAATTCCCTTTTATAAAATAAAATGATTTAGTGTTAACAAACACTCTGATTAACCCAAGTCTCTCTCCTACTGGCCATGCAGACAGCAGTGAGTGTCTGGCTGATGACGTCAGCATAATTGCGGGCGGGACCTTGACTGGTTGGCATGCTGACTCGGCCTTCGTCCTGTGGAGGAGGATTTTGGGTATCATGGGAGACGTCAACAGTATTCGCTGTCCAAAAATCCACGCCAAGGTCTTCTCCTGTCTTTATGAACTCTGGCACAAGCTGGCCAAGGTAAGATCGAGAGGCCCAAAACATGATCTCTAACGAGAAAAATATGTACCCACTAAAGAGGTGTAGTGTGCATTAAGTGTGACTAGAAAGTGACTTTTAGCAGATCGGGGTGTTTTTGAGGATTTAATCAGGGTCTGTTTAGTAAATACTATTTTAAGTAAAAAAAAAATATAATTATCATATCATATCATATAAATCTAATTTTCTACTTTCTCACAGTAATTATTTATGTTTTTCGTTAATTGACCAAAAACTTGTGCTTACAGATCCGGGACAATCTCGGGATCAGTGTGGACAACCTGTCTTCTCCTCCCCAGCCAGCCTTCATCCCTCCTCTTCGGATGCTGGCCTCCTGGCTCTTTAGGGTATGAGCAAAACGAGAACAAGAACGTTGCAGAGTGAAGTCAAAGTGATTCCAAGGGCAGTGACCCCCAGCATCCCACCCTTCCCCTGTACAGGCCACCATGCTGCCTGCAGAGTACAAGGCCGGCAGGCTGCAGGCCTACAAGCTGATCTGTGAGATGATGACCAGGCACCAGGACGTGTTCCCCAACAGTGACTTCCTGGTGCACCTCTACCACGTCATGCACAAGGGCATCACCAGCGGCGACCAGGTACGAGGCAGCAGGTGGCACCGGATGCCCGTTGGCCACTCATACTTTTATTCACCTATAGATGGCGCACCAGTCAAGCTCATGGGATTTACATGCTTTGGCCCTGTTTCAGTACCGGGAAATATGGCCTGTAGACGCCGATTTGTCATGTACTTTTTCTTGCGTGATGTGACTCAGGGATTCTGGTTATTTCTTGGTGTTCACATGTTTTCAGCGGCGTTACTTTTATTTGGCATTGCCTGTGACTTTGCAATGACGGGGCTCGTTGAGGTGCACGGAATTGCAATACTGTTGAGGCTTCGTTTCAGCCGATGATTTTGAGAGCGCCGTGACAACCAGTGGTGATGCAAACTCCCTCCCAGTTTTGGCATCTTCCACTTCCTTAAGCCACACCCTTCCTTGTATTTAAATCTGTCGCTGTTCCATTCCTCTCAGCCAAAGCTGAGTGGAGATGAATGGATTCCCCCAAAAACAAAGGACCCGGCATAAAAGTGTGTGCGGGGTTGTGATTTTCTTTTTTCTTTTTTTTCCGATGCGTGTGTATGTGTGTGTGTGTGTATATGCCCTCCTGGCTGGGTTTCTATTGGGCCTTGGCACAACGACAAGCTTATTAGAATGTTTTCCATGTCGTTAAATAATGTTTAGAGCCCCTGCCGCGTATACGTGATTAATTAAGGATTGACGTCTGTCGCGCTCGGTTAGACTGACATGTCGGCCAGGGGCCCAGAGTAGGCCGGCCGGCCGGCCTGCGTGTGTGTGTGTGAGCGGGAGGGGAGCCTGGGGAACGTAGTGTAGAGTAGAGCAATGAGGGGGGGCACGTTGAGAGAAGAAGAGGCAACATTCTCCAGCTTTTGTTGTGGCTCTGTATAATGCGTCGGGGGGGCCAGAGCCAGGCTGGCCACTGAAGCATGCTCAAATTGGCCGGAGAAAAGAGTCCTCACGCCACACAATAGAGGACAGCCGCACGCCTGCTTAACATAAGAAAGTGGCTCTTACTCTCCCCCTTCTCCTCCCCCTTCCTCCCTGCCTTCAACCCCCACCAGCATGAAGGGGAAAAAAACCATACTTTTCCAAATCTGTCCAATTGGTTTTTTTTAAGCTAAGATGAACAAAGTAGCCTTCACTTCAGGTTTGTATGCAAATGATCTAATACGATAATGTTATGAAAATGTATTAAATTAGGCGTTTTTATTTGGTAATGCAATATATGTACTGTACATTTGTATCTCAAAATATTCTAGCATACAGCTCGGGCATTTTCACCAGTCAACCTTCATTTAAGTCATAAAACGTAAGAGGATTTTTTTGTAAACAACAGGAGGTTTCCAAGTGTAAATCATCAGCATTAAATTCAACAAAGCCTAGAGAAATATTACAGTTCCCTTACAGGGATTCTCCGTCAGTACCAAGGCCAGTGCTATTGTCGCGGTTGTCATCCTCTGGTCACCGGTCACACAAAGGCATGACCATGGCACAATAGCAGTAATCCAGCTAATAGCTCTACTGTCTGGACGGCCCTAGTCAAGCCTATTTAGTTCCATGGCGCACACAAATAAAGCTTTGTGCCCAATTCTTTTAGCATAGGTGAAAGAAAACTTATCAACACTTGTTAATCCTTCAGCCTAAAATACAATGTGTTAAGTACAAGTGGACAGAGCCTTTTTATCACCAAGACTAGTCTGTAGGTTTTATATGAATGACGATAAAGCCTGATGTTAGTGTGACGGTTGACCTCTAAGTCACAAACCTGGCTGTTTATTAAACCCTTCACCTCGTGGTCATACAGGTGGGTTTCAATCCTTCCTCACAGCTCATAAGGGGAAACCCCAAGATATTCATAGGGACGATGAGGTTGTTGGACTGCAGTGTGAAATCAGAGCGTTTTCAAACTGGACATGTCCATATTTAGTAAATAGGACAAAGAACTTTCTGATGAGAGATGTTGAACTGGGCTGAGCCTTCTCACCTACGACGGCAGCAGGTGGACAGAACAAGATCTCCTTGAGTTGTGGGGGTCAAATAAAAAGGCGTGGTGTGGCTTTATTCACAGTTACACTAATGCACCTTTTGTTGATGTGGGGGCCATTTCCTACCGCCAACACAGAGCCACATGTGGCGGTCAATTGTCATCTCGGTACGCAGCACTCTCAAATCAGGTTCCCTCTACTTACTCCTACAATAGGAGAACACTTTGCATGCTACATTTTGTCTAAAATGCTCATTTCAGGCAATCAAGCAACAGTTTGTTGCATGCTAATTACTTCAGTCTGCACTGCACATTACGCTTCAGAGGTCAATTACTAACAAAGTGAGGGTAAAATGGGCCCTCAATCCGAAAGCTCTTCCCACCAATTTCCCCCATGCGCTGCATCATGTTGGATTGCCTCTGCCTGTTTATCCTATTCCTCTTTTGTTAACCTAGATTCGCTGTTTACCAAAGCCTCAGGTGATTAATGTCCCAAATAGTGTGCGTATGCATGCGTGTGTGTGTTTGTGTGTGTGCGCGCCCTTTGGTTCCGCTAACAGGCTGCTGTCTGAATTGAACTGTCCGATTTACACAAGTTTATGGCCAAGACGGCAGGTGCTTCCAGCCCGGACCTTGCCTTTGTACACAAATATGCACGTGCATGTCTCTGATAAGAAGGAGAACCATCTTTATTGCATTACTGAAACAATGCATTCTCATACCGAAAGGTTTTTTGTTTAAAAAATTCTAATTAGAGTGTTCCTTGTGTCGACCAAGAGTAAAAGGAACCATCTACCTTCTGCTGAAAACCCCATTAAGAGGCTTTCTGTGCTCTCGTGTAGTGTGGTATTACGGCGCACATACTTGAGCACTTTTTTGCCGAGCCTCCTGCGGCAGAGCGTGTGTCAATGTTGAAAGATCGCCCATCTGCCACTGAGCCGCCTGTACCTCACAGAAACAATGCGTGGCTGTAATTACCGGTTTGCTTCTGTGTACATACACAGGACTCACCAAAGTTGGGGTCTTTTGTTCCTCATCTCCTCTGTGAACAATCCATCTGCTGCCTTTGGACTGTACAGTGTCTTCCTCTCCTCAACACAATGAAGATGCTAACCTGACCTGTTGGGGGAGGAGGGGGAGAGGGGGGGGGGTGCTTTCGACTTGCCGTGTTTCTCACATGGCGGCACATTTATCAAATATTGCTGCTTCCCTCCCTCCCCACGCTAAGGGCATGTCCATTAACGTACGTAAGCTTTTTTCATGCAAATCAGGGCGGCACATCCGCTCGTGTGTTTCACCTGATTAATACATCGAGATCTGTTACGACTACTGCGCCTGTAACCAACTCCATCTTCTCAGCCGATTCCACAGTAATAAGCCCTGAATCGCTGCCGTGTAAGACCCACCGCTACCTGTTGCTCCTCATCCCAGATGTGTGGCGTTATTTCTGCGTGAGCGCTTTGTGACACCAAAATACATGAAACTCACTTCAGTCAGTGGAATGTCAGTTAAAAATCAGTCTGAACAGGACTTTCCAGAACTGAAATTTGACAATGTTCCATTTTTCCCCTTCAATCCGGACAAAAGTTGTGAAAACAGTGATAAGACAGTGCAGTCCTAACAAATATAAAAATCCCATCTAAATGTAGAGAAGCTACTTATAAAGTCTCTTCGTTTATTCTATGGGGCTGTTAATGCGGTTCAAGTCCGCTAATGGTGGTAAATAACATGAATTTCAGAAGAAAGGTTTGACTCCTATTCACCTGTGTGTGTTTGTGTGTGTTCATGGTTGTCACCAGGATGTTTTAAGCACCATCATCCGTTCCTGCTCCCCCCGTTTCTTCTTCCTTGGCCTGCCGGGCTTCACCATGCTGGTTGGAGACTTCATCAGTGCTGCTGCCTGCGTCCTCCGCTCCGACTCCTCGGAGGTACGCGCACGCTTTTTTACATTCACATTCATCGTGCAAAATCGGAAAATAATTTGCTTTAATCTAGAAAAAGCGGTTCAATATCAGGTACATTAAGGAATGTACTTTTTATAAATGATAAGTAATAATGAATAATGCAAAAATCTGAATTCTGGTTGATCTTCTGTAATTATCTCATTCATTCACTTATAACTAATTATGCAATTATTATCTGAACCGGGCACCACAAACAAGTTATGCTCAATATTTCCATGGAGTCATTGATTATGAGTATTCCTCCATCAATCGAAAGTCAAGCAAAATTTACTAATTCACTTAAATTAATTAATTAATTAAAGCCCAAAACAAATCGGACCAAATTTTTTCAATAAATAAAATGAATAACCGCTTACAATTTAAGTGTTTTATTCATTGTGGAAACCAACAGATACACAGTGCTCGATACACAGTGTGGCCACACATACTCAGGAATTCCCCCGATTCTTTTTCCCCATTTCGCGACGGGAATGAATGATAACGTTTATTTGTTTTTATCTGTTGCAGGCTCCGAGGATGGAGGCTCAGACCATCCTGGGGTCCCTCGTGTGTTTCCCAAACCTTTACCGACAGATCCCTGTGCTGCAGCGTGTGCCTGGCTCTGATGACATCACCATAAGCGATGAGAATATCAAGGTAGATGGCCAGCGCGTGTCTTTTGGATATAGGTGAAACTATATATATAGGTGTAAGTCACCTGAAGTATGAAGAGAGAGCGTTAGACTTCTATAGCTTAACAGGTTCTCTTCTTAGATTTAATAGTGTCAGATCTTTGCTCATATCTGTCACCTGAGAACATATTGTAAATTTGTTTGTTTCATTTGCGGTTTTAGGATTATCTGGTCGACAACTTGCTAGCGACGGCAAGAAAGGAGCACTGTGAAGGAGCCAGGTATGACCGGATGCTTATTTTTTACTTTGGTCATATTTAGCTATTGGTCTGTGTTAGTTTGACATGAATGTGTGTTTACATACATAGAAATAAATCGTATGTTCACTGGTTAGTTTTCCCTCTGCCATTCAGATGCATTGCTGTGTGCAGTCTGGGTTTGTGGGTGTGTGAGGAGCTGATGCAGAACAACATCCACGAGCAGGTCAAAGACGCCATCAATGTTCTGGGAGTAACACTAAAGGTCAGTGACCCACTCAGGCTCTATTTGCCTTGTTTATATTGCTACTGCTTTCATTGTTTCTATTTTTACCAAGTAAAGTGCCTTTGAGTACCTTTTTTTAAAAGGGCTATACAAAATAAATGTATTGTTATGATTATTACTCGCTCGTAAGTACAATATTATTTACAGAACACAACTGCACTGCTAAAATAAACAGTTGGATCATCGGCGGCGTTGACGATATTAACCGTGGCTGAGATTCTGAATAGAAATTATCACTGTTAGAAACTGTCTTTGAATCTATTGTTGGAAGGATCCTGGATTTCATCAGTCTCTGTTTTTCTTTTACTGCACCGGCCCTATAGTGTTTGGCTCTAACACAAATGATAGTTGATTACATAAAAGGACTGCAGGACAATTTCATCACAGTGAGTGGACAAAAAGTGTGAGAATAAAACATGTCCAATGATGTGAGTCATGGGCATCTTTTGGAAGAGCCCTTTTTTCTCCCCGAGTGAAGAGATGCAGAGAGCTGTTTTTTTCGGGGTGTATTTTTTTTTTTTTTTCCAGGGAAAAGGGTTTGGGGCTGTGGCGTAATTTGCAGCCTGCTCGCTCTCGGTAGATGTGGGCCAATTTAAGCAGCTACATCTCCCCGCTTCCTGGTGGAGCAACCCCCCTTCTCTAATGGAGCAGTAATCACTCCCCTGTACAACTTGACACACAGACTCAGCCAGCCCCAAAATAGAGGGTATAGGCTGGGTGGGGGATCTGGTGGGGGGGGGGGGGGGGGGGGGCTGGAGAAGAGTGGCACTGAGAGTCTCTTTTCTAAAAGCAGGTGCTGAACTCTCAGGGCCCCTTTTTGTGTTTGGCCATTTCTGCACTCCCCACAGTGTCTGCCCTTGTTACATGTTGAGAGGCATTCAGCTGGAAGAAATGGGAAATTCTATTTCTCCACAAAGAACTTCAAATCACTAAAGAAATCCACATTTGAGGAAAATTGTCCAACGCTCAATTTCTTTCCTCCTGCAAGGAGTCTGGAGAAAATGAAATCATGCAGATTATATGCACAGCACGGGGATAACTCAATACGAAAGGAAAGTACTCACCATTTTGTCCCAGTGTACCTTAACGTCTCCCCCTTTCTTCCACTGGGAATATTGGTCACCGTTATTTATGGAGTTATAGTGCGGGGTCGGTGTCACAGGCAGAGCTTAGCGTGCGTCCATTCAGAAGCAATTAACTCGCCGTCACCGTTGGGCTGTTTAAAGTCACGGTTTCAGTTGTAATCTCTAGAAACCGATTTCTGGACCAGAAACATTCGTCAACGTTGTACTGACCAGTCACTTCTTTAGGTAAAAATGTTTAGACTCAATGTCTAAAAGGCAGTCTAAGCCCCTCGATAAATATATACATCTTTCAAGCAGTGAAAGAAAGCAACAATGTCAAGGCTTTGCCTTTAAATGACAGGTATGACATGTATGGTTCATTAACAAAAGAAATTCTCTGCTTATGGTGAAAGGAGCCGAATGCTTTCCCTCGTTGGCCAGTTGTCATCTTTTTCTTTTTTGTTTTGTCCAGTTTGGGAATAAAGCAGTGGCTCAAGTGGCCTGTGACGTGTTCCAGCTGCTCATCTCTCACTGGGAACATCTCCAGAGGCTGGAGCCCACTCTGCCTAAGAAAATCATTGAGGTAACACAAACGTGCAAACACACTGGTAAATTGCCAGTAGCCATTAGGGGCCTGTGAAAACATATTATAAGTAAGGAATTGAGTGCGAAATCACTATCAAGTCACTTAAGCCTTTGGATGCAAGTCTTCCATGAGTCATTACGCATGCATATGCACACTCGACGTCCCGTGGCATCACATCCATTTTAGCACACAGCCCTGACTCAGCTGTTGAATAGGAGTGTGTCATCCAATTATCTTTCTCCTTGATTTGCCCCAACACAGATCTTTGTGGCCACAATAGCCTTTTTGTTGCCGAGCGCCGAGCACTCAACGGTGGAAGCAGACAAAAAGGTACATGTTGGGAAGGAGGGGACCTGGCTGCGATCTGAAGGCAGCCATGCTTCTGCATTAGCGCAGGAATGTTTCAGCTGAAGGGATTTGTTCTCCTCTGTCTTATCCATTTTTATCTCTTTGCGATTATCCGTCCACATGTACAGTAATAAATGTATATCTGATGAGCAAACTTCTTCCTCGCGCGTGCAGTTGATGGTGTCGCTGCTGCTCTGCCTGTTGGACTGGTGCATGGCCGTTCCCCTGAGTCTGCTGCTGGAACCCATCGCCATGCCTTCGCCGGAGGACCGCGCCTCCCACAATGCCCCGCTGCTGGACTACATCTACAGGGTGGGTAGAGCCTCGACGGCAGCTGGGAGGTGGGGAAAAGCCCAAAGTTCACAACAAACAAACCTGGCCATGTTTTACGACCGCCTGCTCTCCAAATATCTCCCAAAACGTGCATAGTCTTTGCTTGCAGACACAATAACTTAAGCTTTGACACCTCCTCCCTCTTCCCACCCACTGGGCTTGCCACTTTAATTAGACTCACCTCCACCATGACCTCACGACTACGCCTCATTTAACGTAATAGTGGCACAGCAGCAAAGAAGCCGTTGCCGTTATCATGCGGTAGGCCTTTATCATATCCGGGAAACACCGTACAACTGGCTTCCAAGTAGTATTTAGTGAATTAGCTTACAAAAGGCCAAATATGCGGTATTCCATCTCGGTCTCTGTTTTTCCCTCTAGCGCTTTATTTTATGGTCTGACCCAGAGGATGAGGGCCAAGCTTCAGGCGCAAATGAATGCAGTATTATTCATTCCCTCCTGTCTGGGCAGATGCGGTCAACGGCAGATCTTTGTAAGGATGTCACCCCTGATAAGAAATGGTCCAATTATTCAAACAGGACCCTTTGTCCAGTTGATAAGCCCAGGCCATAAACGCTTGTCCTGGAGATTTGAATGGAATATGTCTTAATATGAGAGCGACTGCAGCTGCTATGAAAGCAAAGACAATTAGGCGTGATTGGTTGTCTATCAGCACACAAAAGGCATGGCCCCTCTTGGTTACATTGGAAATAATATATTAAGCCAGGCATCACAAGGTGTGACAATATTAATGCAATATCAAGACTGAAATCTGTACATTTCCCAAAGATGCCTTGGCTGCTAATTATTCTCTTTATCACGCAGAGAATGGCTTCGCTCATAGAAAATAAATGTCCTTGTTATTCCATCCTTTCTCAGCGCCGCCTTTTAATTACAGTTTTATAATTAACATATACAGAGTCATCAAACACCAGCACAATACATGCACCCGTCTAACGGAAAGGCTTTCCTCCTAGTTAATCTGTTGATGAGAAAGCTAGAAAAAAAGTTTTGTTTCTGGTGACTAGCAGCATGCAGATCGATGTAAACGGCAACATTGCATTAGAGACCTCATTGGTTCACTGGAGTTCTGCTCAAGCTTCTCCATCTGCTCTTTCAGCTTGGCTCGGCAACCAGCTGCACCACCGTGTGTGCGTGTGTGCGTGTGCGTGTGCGTGTGTGTGTGTGTGTGTGTGTGTGTAGAAGCATTGGTGCATGCGCACACCATTGTTTCTGTTTGCATTTGTATTATTTAATTTATGTGTGTACATGGGCCTATTCACGTGGCAATGCAATATGTTGTCCTTTAACTACAGTATGCACTGTGCGCTACCTTCCAGGAACTGTTGCTATGCGAAGCGCAGTCACTTAGTTGTCAAGCACAGCTGTGGGTCTGCCCCCCCCCCCCCACACCCGCCCCCCTCCCTTCCCATTCTGTCTCTCCACCTCTCCACGGAGGAAGCTCTTTGGGGCTTTGGTGTAGCAGCTGTTTGGTTCAGGTCTTTTCAGCTTCAAGCCTTCAATCCCTCCCCCCATGTCACCCAGAGGCCTGCTCAGTAGAATCATCCACATACTGTCTACATTGCCCCACACAATACTGTTTCAGATGTCAGGGCCAGCCTGCCTCTCAGAGCGTCTCTCTGCCAAGTTTGAGTGCATGTGTGCACTGAATGGGATTAGCCTTTGCATGGCTTTACCCAAGTTGCTCCACTCTCAATGAGAGGCCCCCTCATTTACATACATTAGGCATATGTTCAAGCCACTCACTTGCAGCACCTTGCCTCCACACACAGATTATACAGTATACAGGTGTGTTTCTCTGTGTGACAGGACGTGCATGTTTGTGGTGGGAGCTGAGCACGGGGATAAAGTCCTAATTAAATCAAACAGTGTAAACCTGTCCAGCGCTGTAATCAACTGCCCCAGTGCGTCTTAGCCAGCCCTGCCAACGGATGCTCTGCCATCTGTTATGTAGATCGATACACTCGCACATCACAGGAGAAATGGATTAGTGGCAGTAAAGACCTTCTTTTCACTCAATCTCTCCCTCCCTTCCTCCGTTGCCTTATGATGTAAATGGACCATATATTCCCGTTTCATACGCTCCTGGTTCATGTCGATGTGTGACGGGCCTGCGGGAGTTTCACTGTGCAGTCTGACCAGACACCACTACATCTAACAGGACACGGCCCTTTTTACACATCCAAGTTTAGGTTCATTTATCAAAGTGCATTTCACTGTTTTTTTTAATTTTTTTATTCTTTAGAAAAGCTACCCAGGCACACTTCATAGGAATCACCTTGACGTCCTTCCCTCCCTTTGTGATTCCTCAGGTGCTGCACTGTTGTGTGTCCGGCTCCAACCTGCACACCCAACAGAGCCACTACCTCCTCAGCCTGTCGGACTTGTCCACTGACTATAACGTCATGCTGGGTCAAGTTAAGAGTGGCGAGCCGCCGCCCTCCCAGAACAGCACCTCCGACTTTGGCAACCTGCTCACCGTAGCTGAGGGTAACGACGTGGAGCCTTCTGGGTTACATTTACTTCTTGTTTTGCTACCTGCAAGATTACATCTGCCCGACATACAAAAATGAACAACAAAATGTATTGATGCGTGAGAGAAGAGAACCAGTCAGTAGTGGATGTTATCTGTCACATCGCCCCAGATGACAATCTCTGGTTCTCCCTTTTTGCTTCAGCTCCCGCTGTGTTTCTGACAGACCAGACAGCAGCAGCTTCCCACAACCACCCCCCGCCTCACCCAAAATAAATCTCAAAAAGGATTACAGGAAATAGCAAATTCTGAGTAGCCAGTCCATTTGGAGCCTTTCCATTAAATGTCAATATCTTATTAAAAGTATAAAAGAGAAATCAGCCATCACAGGGTTGATGTTCACATTAGTACTCAGCCCTAGAGAGGAGACCCATTATGGGGTTTATATAAATATGTGATTTTTTTTCCCCTTCTTTTTGGTGACCTTGTGATTCCATTAGGCAATCTGTTCCTCTCCCTCCCTCTTGTCCCCAACTTCTGAAAAGTCATTCTCGATCCAGATCCAACGTGCAGTATTCTGAAACACGGTCAGAAAAGCTTTAGACCGTAAAATTTCACCACACCTCTGCTCTCTGATGCACAGCTGCAGAGATTCTTAGTAGAAATAACAAAACACTATCAAAAGGGCAAACCAAAGAGTGCCGGCCTAGTTACATTCATGTCCCCACCTCATATTGATCAAGTCACATCAAAGGGCCAGTGCATCTCTAATGCAGCTTGGCCTGCTTTCTAAAGAGCTTTCTCCACTTTGATGGGGGATGATGGTATTGATAGCACTGTCACAATGCAGGAGTGCATCTCCTTGTTTTCCCGCATGTCTGCAGAACAGAGCACGGCATGCCGCTCGCTTGGGGGTAAAGAAAAATGCATATTAAACACTATTCACCTAGTATAGTCGTACTAAGTTTGACGTACAGATGGTGGTTGTCATTAGCACTCAGCCAGTCTCGACGCTTGTCCATTGTAAGATGACTCAATGGGCTTTTGAAAGTTGTCCTTCATGATTAGACGCTACCTACTCCGAGGTGTGCTGGCCAAGCTATTGTGAGAAATGAATAAAGTACCCTTATTAGTAATCATGAATGAGATTTGGCTTTGTATGAAAAAGAGCAGATGAACAGATGATAGCACGTCAATACACAAATGTGGGGCTTTGAGATACGGACGGAAAATATGATCTTTTACCAAGGAACCCCCCCCCCCCTCTCCCCCCAACGCGGCTTTTATTCTTAACCATCAATCACTTTAACCATGACAGGATTTTACTCTTCCTCACGTGTACTTTCCGTAGTTTTATCTCCCCGGCTTCATTCTTTCACCAGAAAAGCAACGTCGGAACACGGAGCTGATTCCGCTGACCGCACGGATGGTCATGACTCACCTGGTGAACCATCTGGGCCACCATCCGCTGAGCGGCGGCCCCGCCCTCCTCCACAGCCTCGTGAGCGAGAACCACGACAACCCGTACGTGGAGTCGTCCGAGCTGTCCTCCGAGGTCTTCAAAAGCCCCAACCTGCAGCTGTTTGTCTTCAACGACAGCACGCTGGTGTCCTACCTGCAGATCCCGGCCGAGACGCCCGCCGTCGGACAGCCCCCCCAACCCTCCTCTCAAGTGCGCGTCATCGTCAGGGACATCTCGGGCAAATACTCATGGGACGGCGCGATCCTCTATTGCACCACGGAGGAAGACTCTGTGGATGCGGGCGTGTTTAGTGCGGTTGATCGCCCTCTTCCTACTAGCAATGCTGCCTCTCGCTGTAGAACCCAGCCCAACTCTCCAACAAAGGGGCCGTGCAAAACCAGCTCCTCTGTCTCCGACTCGGCCTTTGACTGCAGTGAGGAGGAGGAGGAGGAGGTAGATGTTCTTGATATGCTTCTGGAGAACTTGGGCCACAGCAGCCCAGAATGCCTGCCCCAGCCGCAGCTCAGGCTCAACCAGCCCGCCGCCTCGCCCCACGGCATGAACCTCGAGCAGGAGAGCGCCATCCTGGAGGCCATCCTGTGTCAGACGCAGCAGGAGGAAGAGCAAGTGAGGAGGTGGGAGGCCGATGTCAGCTTTCGGGCCGCCTGCCATCGGGAACCTTCCCACCAGGAACCGAAGGCTCCTTTCTACTTCTGCCGGCTGCTGCTTAATGACCTCGGCATGAACTCTTGGGATCGCAGGTACGCTACCAAGTGGAGTCAACTCCAATAGCTGCTCCGGTTTGCACTGTGCTAAAAGAAGAAAGAAAGAGCATTGTTTTCGTAATCAATATCTTTCAGTGCGCAAGCCACATAGTCAATGTAAGCGCATTTTAATCTACTTTTAAACATCAGTAAGTTGCATTGTCCTCAAGGTAACTCAGCTGTTACTCAAAAAGCTAAAAGCACTGTGGCGTCTGGAGTGTCTTAATCTCCGCTCCACAGGGTAAAAGTGCCCAGCTGTTTTCATTAAAGTCTACCTTGCCGAAGCCGCGTCTTTGCCGTGCTCACCCGTAAATGAAAAGCTTACACCTCTTAATGGCGATGGTGCAACGTGCACAAAGCCAGTAGGAGATTGCTGTTTGCACCTGTGGCTTTTTCTGCTCGTTAATCATCTCTGACAAACAAAACTTTGGTTGAAATGTCTTTTTAGGATAGTTTGTGTATAAATCATGGCGCTATTATATCACTAATGTGTGTTCATAGAGAGTTGGAACATTTCTCTTGTTTTTGTCAAACAGGAAAAGTTTCCATTTGTTGAAGAAAAACTCCAAAGTCCTAAGGGAACTGAAGAACTTGGATTCCAGGCAGTGGTAATACCTTTATGACTTTGTCTCTGTGTGTATCTAATAGTTATTACCTTCCTAATACCTACATTAAATTAACACCGGTAATAAATCCCACAGTTTGTCCAAGCTGATTATATTGCTCCCTTCCTCCCAAATGATCTTTCTAATTTGTACCATCTCCCGTTGGACACAGACCTGGAAGTCTCCCACGATCACTCTGGTTGTCCTTCTTGACTGTGTGTCTCTATTAGTCCAATCAATAAGTGGACTGCGCATTGCTGATGACAGGGGCTTATTAAAGATTTCCCTGGGGACTCGACTTTGTTCTCCCAGATGGCCAGACTTGGTTGGGCAAAAAACAACCTGTGCGCAAGCATGCAACGTGCCCTCAATCTACCCCAGCGTTGTGTACTGCCATGGCAACAGCGAAAGCAGATGGGAGCCTTTGTTGCCATCCTTTTTTTAAATCATTTTAGAGCTACAGGGACAGGGATAAAATGTGATGAAAAAGTTGTTTCTTTCCCCCTGATTTTTAACAATTCAAATTTCACACAATTTGGATTGTCCAGATATTTGTAGTCTCTTGAATCAATTGACACGTATTTCAAAGCTAGTGGCAAGAGAAAGGTGGAAGCTTTTCAGGTCCTGTTGTGTTTTTCAAATTGCCTGTGTTGTTGTTGGTGTTATTTGATTTTTAATTTAATAGAGGCTACTGTGTGATTTCTCGTGTAGCCGAGAGACACACAAGATTGCTGTGTTCTACATCGGAGAGGGCCAAGAGGACAAGTGCTCCATCTTGTCTAACAGCGCGGGCAGCCAGGCCTACGAGGACTTTGTGTCTGGGCTGGGATGGGAGGTGCCGACAACCACACCCTCAACACGCATCCTTCCTGCCTAAATACGGACACACTCTCCCGCTCGGAGCGCATTCAATTGTAAATGTATCCCTCAGGTGGACCTGGCTACACACTGTGGCTTCATGGGGGGCCTCCAGAGGAACGGCAGCACGGGTCTGACCGCTCCGTACTATGCTACCTCCACGGTGGAAACCATCTTCCACGTCTCCACCCGCATGCCGTCCGATTCTAATGACTGCCTCACCAAAAAGGTAACACTTTGGATCATCGCGATGACAATCGCCGCCTCTCCGTGACGTTTGGATTCACATCATGTGCGTTGCGACAGTCGCACACCTCAAATGTCGCAAATAACAACGATGCTGCTCGGCCTGTTTGATCCGGTGAAATGGCTACACAGTCTTGCCTGCCCATAGCAGTGTGTTGTTGTAGCCTTCGGCTCTGTGTTAAGCTGTGATCAGGAGGTGTGACTCCAGAGTGCGGGCATTGATTAGTGACCCTGGCCATTCAGACCTGAGGAGTAGAGAGTCGTAGGTGCGTGAGTGAAGAGAGGGCATGTGCCGCTGCGGTAATGACTATGATTCTGCTAGCCCGTGCCCCCCTCCCCGTGTGCTGTGACCAGGGCTTGGATTCAGCCATTAGCTCTCCCTGCTAGGGCAGGCGCCGGCCGGATGCCGGCAGGATCCTTTTATCCAATTCCTGCTGCCGCCACAGGAGCGATCGATTGGGTTCTGCAGCGGGATTCTGAGCTGCAGTGTACCAGTAGCAGTTAGCACGAAGAAATGAGCCGCAAGGCCTCTGCCCGTGCTGCCAATCTTCTCATACAGTGCCCCGCTGAGAAGGGAAATTCATCAGACTCCCCTCATTTCCAACCCCCTCCAGTGTAGCAAAAAACCTTCCGCCCGTCTCACAAATAGCCCTATACTCATTCCAAACCCATCCTTAGTGAGCGCATGAAATGAGTTACTCCGGGTGACGGTTTTGGTCGGGCCGCAGCGAGGCGCTGGAGGGACGGCCCGGCCCGCAGTTGAGTGTGTTGCCACTCCTCTCCCATCTATTTCTCGGGGAACTTCTGTAATTGCTGGAGCTCACCTTGCAAAGATCTCTCACAGGCTGCACCGAAATTGGAAAGGCTGGCCGGATGCATGTAAAGAGCTGGCAGGGCAGAGAGAAGAGAAAGTGGGATAAAGAAATTGATTTGGAAACCGACTCTGTGTAGGATGTTTCCCAGTCAATTTAAAAATAACACTTTTAGTCCAGCAGTCACCCACTTAAATGCCTGTAAGCGTAGAGGCCCACTGTGGTGGGAGTGACGAATGGGTGAGCTCTCGCTGGGCAGATTGCTTGTTTGAAGACGATGAAGGGTAAAAAAAAAAAAGCAACGCCAAAAAAAAGGAAGATGGGAAAACCATGAATTCCTCGATCCAATTGTGGGTTTCAGAGCAGCACAGGCTGCTTCTGCAGCAGCAGCTGGCTTCAGTAATGTAGTTATAGAAACGACCTGCAGGGTTGGGGTCAGGCCATTTAGATTGTGTGTGCGTGTGTGCGCGTGTGTGTGAGTCTGTGAAAGAGAGGGAACTAGACTGGGGTGCTTTAGCTATCACATTCACCCCCAGGCACCACAGCTTAACTGGGCTGCTGCAGGTTGTTTTTATAAGAAGCCTCTTGTGTTCTGCGGCCCAGTGGTCGGCTGTCTCCATATGTGTGAAGCCCATTGGCTGGCTGGGAGGTCAAACAGGGCTAATTGGACAAGAGCCTTTGACTTGAATCCCATTTTAATGAAAGAAGTCTCAAACATTTGGATGTGATTAACAAGGGAATAAATAGACGGGTGCTGAAGATGATTGACTAGAGCATAAGCATCCTCATTAAACTTGTTATTAAGCACATCCAAATGCAAATATCTTAACCCAAATTAACATCCCAGGGTTAATTGTCTACCGCAAATGCATATTCAGCATTTTCTCTGAAATTGTCCCAGTGACTGACCTGGTTGGTACCTGCTGATCCTCGGACAGAACCGGCGAGCTCCCGTAATCAGCATGCCGTGGATTTGTTTAAGATTACTGTATTACCATAATTAAGGGCTTATAATAGAATGTGCTAATTGCATTTTTGGTGGCGAGGGCATGTCTCTTAATGCCTCATTAGGCCCACAGTACATTGGCAGATGTTTTCCTCTGAGTAGAGGCTCACTTATCAGTGTCCATGATACACCAGGAACACATCACCGGGCTACAAGCTGCTATCCGAATCTTGTCCCGAAAGGGAGTCGAGTCGAGCTCAACCGTGCAGGGAAATGAGGCGAAAGTGATCTACAGAATACAGCAAGAATATAACGTGACTGGGTCCCTCTATTTTAAAGGCAGAGCTGTTTACCTTTTTGAAGCCAGCTTCCGTCAATTTCCCGTCTTTCATGTGTACGTTCTGGCCCTCCCCAGTTTCCTTTTGGGTTTCTGATTAGCGAGGAAATGGGAAGCAATTTAACCCATGATGGGGAAAGTCAATTGGATTGGAATTATTTGGTTTTGAAATGCTCAATTTTGCTCAAATCTATGTTTGCAATTTGAATTTGTAATGAAAGAACTATAAAAAGACTCCAGAGCCGAGGCTCCCCATTTAAGTCATTGTTGTCAAACAGAGTTGAATGAGCTTGACTTGTTGTGAGCAGTCACCTTGCTCCAGCACCTTCTGCAATGGGGTTTTATCTCTAGGATACATTCAGTAAATAATGTCCTCCCATCCCCGTCCACATACCTCTTGTACCTTTAGCGAGGTGTGTGAGCTGCAGCTCCTGGCCGTTACCTGATCTCATCAAATCAGTGCCGATGACGACAAGGACACACATCGCCAGAAACCTAATTAGACTGATTGTTTGTTTACAGCTGCGTCACCTGGGAAATGACGAGGTGCACATAGTGTGGTCGGAGCACACCAGGGACTACCGACGTGGCATCATCCCAACTGATTTTGGAGACGTGCTGATTATCATCTACCTAATGAAGAACCACATGTATTTCATCCAGATCATTAAGAAACCACAGGTAAACCTTTTTAAGACTATAATCCACTACACGCAAACAACATGGATCAACTTGAAGTGGGAAGTTTCTTTTATTGCCTGTGGTCGAGCAAGCTGTCTAGCTTCTTTGTCCTTTAGATTACCTTAAGTTTGATAAAATAATCATGTTACAATTAGCGAAACAAAAGAAGATTAACCAATAAAATCAATAGAAATCAAACTGCAATTCTAAATAAACCAAATAATTATTTGCTCCACACTTCAAGTCTCACCCCTTTCCGTAACTTAAATAACTATTTAGATTAGATCAATAATCTTTAGTCAGAGTGGGAGTCGTTCAGGCTTTTTGTCAAACAGAAATGCGTTTAATCTCTGCCCCGTCTCCGCTTTTCTGCATTTTTAAACCATTATGCAGCCGGTGGAGTCGGGCTGGGACCTGCAGGCGAAGATCCCCTTTGATGTTGAACGTGACAAAGTGTCTTAGTTTCCAGCGACACTAGAGCCACTCTGGCTGTTCTTAGCAGTGTACTAATTTCCCGTCTGTGTTCACGAGTTAAAGCCAAGCCCTTCTCCTTCCTTCCTATTCAGACTTTGCCATGAGTTTTATAGGTCTTTTCTCCTTTCGGGGTTTCTGTCGAAAGGCTTTCAGCTTCCTTTACTCCAGCTGTGCATTATTACCCACACTGTGGGTATGTGCTCTCAGAGATGGTTACCATCCTTTCCTGGCTAGCTTTCATCTCGGCTGCTCTGAAGTACCATTTCCTTCTCGGGAATAGTGAAATATCTTTGTCTGAGTACGTCGGCCTTCAGATGTTAAGATATATTCAGTGTTTTCTACACTTGAACGTTATTCCGGTGTAAAGCTAACCATTTCATTCGGTTTTATTCCTCGGGGAGCGCATTGATCATCTTTAATGGGACTTTTTAAGCAAGTCGTTTTTCAAAAATGACTGAAGTGATTAATGTAATGCAACCATAGAATCTCTGCTGATTTATTAGAACAGCACAGAGTACAACAGCAGCCTCAGAAGATCTAACATCAAATACTCAGACTCACTCTGCTGCAATTTCCCCTTTAATCTTAACAATTATATTTTTTTCAGGTAACTATGACAACTCACCCAAGACCCCGACAGAGACAAGTGTGCATCTCGTTTTAAATGATGGCTCACATAGGAGTGCAGAAAACATGTCCTAACCCCAGAGGGTCTCCAAAGCCAAAACCCCCAAAATGCAAACGGCCTCTTCCTCCAAGAACTAGGAAATCTATCTGCTTAGCTTTGGGATGTTCGTTTACACAGTGTCACCCCAGCTCATACAGATTAAGTTAATTGGTCCGTATCATTTCTGGTTAAAATCCATTTGTTGTATAATTTAACTGGTGATTATTTGAGCCGAACTACCAAGTTGAAGACAGCAGGACCTTTTGGAGACTTTGACATTCGCGTCAACTTCCAGGTCAATGGCCATTGAGCTTCAGTGATTACGGACCCCCATCCAATATGTATGAACAGACGCGTGTGTCCACACACAATCACACGCTGCCGCTAAAATGCGTATTGCCCCTTTGTGTTTGTTCGGTAGGTCAATATGAGGCCTTTGTTTACTATTGATTGTCATTTTAATTTAATTTGCCTAACATTGAATCACATTAGATATGTGTGGTTGTCATGCAAAGTTCTCTAAAAATCCAATTTCATCTTGAACCCTCGCCCTAAACAGATGGAGAAACGGCTAAAAGAAAGAAAGAAAGAACAAAGTTTTTAATCAATCCTTTCTAATTCTTCAGATGCTCGACAGGACACTGACCAGATTAACTTTGGATCATTGTGGAAGTTTTGATGCCTCGAGTTGTTATTATTATTTTTTTTCCTTTCTTCCCCCCAGGTTCCTTTTTTCGGGCCGCTGTTCAGCGGCGCCATCGTCACTGCGACGCTGCTGCCGAGCTTGGTGCGGGCCACCTGTATCAATGCCAGCAGAGCTGTCAAGTCCCGGCTGACTCTCTACCAGAGCTTGTATCCTTTCCCCCCCCCCTCGCGCCTTCTGCTTCATTTACTGTACCGGGCGTGGCCCATCGGAGGAATGCGACCGTTCTTTCAAAATGGACCGTTGATTGCACTTACAGCTGCGATACCATTACGGTTCAGAGCCTACATTTAGCTCTGTTTTTATGATGATTGCGTTAGATGCATCACACCGCCGAGCTGAAATGTTCAGCACCACCAGTGGCCCATTTGGGTAAATTCATTGAGACGTGTGGCGTGCCTGTCACACAGCTGAGTGCTGACAGTGATCTTTATGCGCTGGCTGATTTACATACAGCTATTAGGCCGGGGCTGTTTCACAGCCTGCAGCGGCGTGGGAGGTGGTGCGTGTGTGCGTGTGTGCGTGTGTGCGTGTGTGTGTGTGTGTGTGTGGCTGTTTGGGGCAGGAGCGCAGATAATGTGGCATCATCTATCACTACCGTTTTATGGAGCACGCGGCGAGCCAAAATAAAAGCTCCCTCAACAAACACATCCAAGTGCATACAGGCACGAACGCACAAACACACGGCCTCCTCCCTACGCGCATCCATCCAACAGTGTGCCGTTAAGAGGCTGACTCCAGCTGTAGTTGTCAGTTGGTTTAAAGGGAGTGTAATCACCAATAGAGATGAATTAGCATGTGAATGGCAGCAGCGCAGTCGGGGGGGAAAGGGGCGGAGGGGGGCACAGAGTCGGTATGGCCCCTGGAGGGGGAAACCTGATCTCCCTCAACGCCCCGCTCCTCCTCGGACAGCATGTACAGCACCGCCTCACCAGAACCACGCTGCCGCTCTGTCGGTTGCTATAGAAACCTCCCCCGAGGAGGTTTCATTTGGGTGGACGGTTAGCGCCTATTGTTTTTTGTTTTTTTTATATATAGAAAAGTTGTTTTTTTAATGATTGTGAGGTCCCTGTACCTTTTGTCGTTCACCTTCAAAAAAAACCTTTTTCGTCTTTAATTATCCTACAACACATCTTGCGTAGGTTGTTTACAGTTTGGTGTGTGTAAGTATGTGTCTGCCCGTATGCGTTTCACAGCGCATCACATCCCCCCCCGCCCCCCAACCCTTACATCAGCCCTTGTCTGTGCGTCCCCAGGGGAATCCTGAGTGACAGATGTCTGTTACCCGACGCCAAGTGAATTAGCCCAGTGTGAGGCTGCCAGAGTGGAGGGGGGGGCAGCCACAGACCTGGCCTAGCTCTGTGAGCCTGTGGGGGCGGGAGGGGGTTCGAGACAGTACCGCAACTGTGTTGGGCCACCGCAAAGGCCTTACCTGGCATTCCTCAGCACAGTGGCCCGGCCCATGAGAGGAGATGAGCGCTGCCTCTAGAGCTCCGGCTCTGAGGAGATGAGGGAGCACACATCCGCATGTCTTGAGTCTTGTCTGCATACATCGAGAGGCACTGTGTTGAGTAATGGACGCCCCAGAAAGCGGCACGTGTGCAAATGACTCGGTCAGCATGTGGAGTTTCTCTTTTATGTTTCCAATCGGATTTGCTGTTGAATTGTACCAGCCCTTTTGCACTCTCCCCTCTCCATCCGTCCGTCATTCTTCCATCTTCATGGGTCATGCGGATCTTTATCTCTCCCAGGTTTGAACAATGACCCAACACCTTTTTTTTCCTGGCCTCTGCTTTTTTGTGCGAGATGGAAAATCCTCACACTTCACTCCTTCACAATGCTTTAACAATCCACACCGTCCTCTCTGCCCGTGAGGCCACTCTCTTAGGTAATTAGTTGAATATTTCTTCAAAGAGAAGCTGTATGACCCCTGTGTGTCCAGATAAAAGGCCACTATGGCGCTGTGCCCCCCTCTCTCGCTCTGTCACAAGGCTTGAGAGTACTCCAGCGCTCTGCCACGACGCTCACAGGATCTCTCGGGCTAATAGGATTTGATATTGAAAAATGACCTCCGGCATCAGTGTTTTTCAGATAGATTCCCCACCTCACCCCCCTTGCTGTTTTTCTTTCTGCTCACCACATCCTCTGGATCCTACTCTCCCTTTTCCTCCATCTCTGAGCTGTGAGGGTCTGTGAAATCCGCGTGCTTGTTTTCTCGCACAGGGTCCGGCTCTCATTGTCAGTTAGAATTCGTGTCAATTTCTTCAGTCAAGACACAACCGCAGCCTCGCATCATATCACGAGCTCCTCACAGACAACTCGTAATGTATCATCTATTATTTAGGTGGCTGATGGAAAATGCAGCTGCTCAGGCTTTGTGTGTCCTAAGTGTATTGTGTGCAACTAGGCTGAGGCATTTTGAAAAATCGAGACCACAACGTGTTTGTTCTAAAAAGAAGGTGGGGAGAAAAAGGGGGTGAAATCACCACTACCTCTTTATGTGGATGGCCATTCAGTGTTGATGGTTTATGTTGTATATTAAAGCAATAGATTCCTTTATCGACCCAGACAGCACAGTTTGCAGATGCAAAATGAGTTTGTTTTTATTTCATCAGACAGGGCGGTGACGTAGTCGGATGCGGGGAATACTTGGAGGCAGAGGCGCCACCACTGATCGGACCTACGCCGATTGGAGGCAGATTTTTCCCCACTGTTTTATATTAGCAACGGAGTAGAAGCGATAACGGACATTTTGTTCCTGTGTTTGTGCTACTTCCTGCACGCACACAGTGTGTGATAAATAGTCTCACGAGACACAACGAGTGGGTTTGTGTCACCTGAACCGTCCCTGCAGGGCTCTGCTGTCTGCTGCCATTTACTGCATCACGAGGATCCTTCATACTGTCACTGTAGAATAATGTTTTCACCCAGACGCCGGGATTCATTTCTCTCTTCAACAAGCACTTGAGTCTGATGTGGCGTCCATGTCTTTTTTTTTTGACGGCGGTGTTGTTGAGGGGTTCAAATTGTCTGCGCGTGTGTGTTGGGGAAATGGCAAGTTTCTAATAGGTGAGACAGTGTAGAACTGACCTTGATTCAGAGACATGGCCTCCCTACTGGACAGAATCAATAGGTTTTTTTTGCACACTGCCCTTAGTCCCAATCCTCTGTTCTGTCACACATAAACACACACACACACCGATCCATCTCCAGGCAACGATCAATAACCATAATCTGTTTCTGCCCATCGCCAGTCAAGCAAGCCAGGCTTTTAGGGTGTGTGTGTGTCTGTGTGTCTGTGTGTGCGCGCAGTGGCAGAAAGGATCAAGCTTCCCTCTATTCTTTCAGTGCTGAAGTGAAGTCTGTCATGTCCCCTCACAGGCTCGTGTGAGCATATCTACAGTCCCCCAATACTCCCCTCAATGCCACAACGAGATGTACATCCTTTCAACAGATGTATACTGAAAACATAATGGACACGATATTCTTTTGTGTGCCGTCGCCCCCCCCCCCCCCCCCCACACACACACACACACACACCTGACGCCATCCTAATAATTAGAGTCACTGCGTTGGTCAGGACACATTCTCACACCCCTTCTGAGCGCGTTATTGTCCCACTCTCACTGTGTCTTTGTCCGCCGGCGGTGCGTTCTTTTGTACACTGTAAGATTCCTCACCTAGCGGAGATGAAAGTGCGCCCGTACGCATGATGGGATGCCGTGAATAGGATCTGCCATGTTGGTGTTGTCTCGCATGAATTATTCAGCATCGCTGATAGGTCTAATTTGCCAGCTGTTGTGCCATAACTGCCGGCAGTGTCATAGATAATACTCAGCAGTCTATATCTCTGTGGAACACGGTGCTTGACTGGGCACAGTGAGACGCCAGGCTTGTCATTATATGCCGGTTTCATGCGATGGTCTGAGCTGATGTGAGTGTAACAAGCCAACTTCCTGTTTATGGAAACGGGAGTAACCAAGTGAAGAAGGTCCTACAAAGGTTGCTGAGAGGTATTTCTAATATCCAGTTCAATTATTAAAGGGAGGCTTGATAAATACAGGACACAAGACTTCTAGAAGGAGGCATTTGGTACATAAGGGAGGGGGCGGGTGGGGTTTGGGGCCGTTTCGAAGTTGAAGTGTCCCTGCTCGGAGTTGGCCTGGGCGGTTTGGGCGGAGGCTGGCATTGGCTTTGATAGAGCAGTTGAGAGCCTACGCAGTATTTTAGGGGGCTACGCCGAGAGGAGGGGTCTCTCCCCCACTGAATGTTTTAACCTAATCCTATTATCAGTGTAGCGCACTGCCTCCCATCTCTTCCCACTCCTTATCCCTACCCCCTCCCGCCCTGCTCTCCAGCTGACCAGCTGTTCCTGCCGGGACTCATGACAATGTCCGATGTGTTCAGATCACTGAATACCCCCCCCCCCCCCCCACCCCGCCCCCACACAATACGCACACAAATACACATAGCACACCCAAAGCCCAATGGTTGTAGCCCACGAGGGCCTAGAGGGAGGAGGGTGTTAGTTGGGGTGGAAGGGGCTAGCGATGGGGGTGAGGAGGGGCAGCACAGCCCTGTCAAACCGGGAGCCCTGACTCAGGAGGCAGCCCGGCTCGGTTGGCATATGGTGTCTAGCTTCATCCAACATGCAAAAGTTTTCTCTCCTTTAGCCCCCCCCCCCCCTCCCTGTCTCCCTCCCCTGCTGCTAATGCAGAATGACTCATAGCATTACCCCCCCACACCCCCCCGACATTAGTTCCTCCTCCTCTTGCCACCCAGCCTGTAACAAAAGGCGTCCGCTGCATGGCACCCACACCATGAAAGCCCTGGGGGCCCGGGCCAGCCTGCACTCTGGGGTCTGAGCACGGGGGCCGCCCCTTTTAAACACAGGTAGAGCAGGCATGGAACCAGACGGCCAACAGCAGGGACCCAGAGCCCCGCCTGGGGTAGCGTGTACACACACACACACACACACACACTGTTGTGCCTGTCAGTGTGTTTGTGTTTCTATGTGCACCAAAGCTGCCTCTGGTGTAACTGAAACATGGGCGTGACTTTGCATTTCTGAGCACAGTGTGTTTTGTATCTAACCGCAATGTTCTTTAAATAAAAAAAAAGAAGTATTACCATAATAAAATTGCTACGT